AAATACACACCCCAAATACACCCCAAAAATACCCCAAACCCACCCCAAAAATACCCCAAATCCACCCTAAAAACTCACCCCTAAACCACCCCCCTGAAACCCCTCTCCAACCACAAAAAAACCCAAATCCTCTAAAATCCACCCAAAAATCCACCTTAAAGCCCCCGCCCCAAATCGACTCAAAATCCACCCAAAGCCCCCAGGAAGGCCAAAGGGCACTCGGTGTCACCCCCTTGTCACAATCATTGTCACCCCCTGGTGTCACCCCTGGGATGTCACACTTGTGATGTCACACCCAGTGTCACCCCCAGTGTCACCCCCGTGTCACCCCCCTTGTCACACTCATTGTCACACCCTGGTGTCACCCCCCTGGTGTCACCCCTGGGGTGTCACACTCCTGTCACACTCCTGGTGTCACCCCCAGTGTCACCTCCCCAGTGTCACACTGTCCCTGCCACACTTTCACTGTCACACTGTCCCTGTCACACTCCTGGTGTCACCCTCCCAGTGTCACACACTCACTGTCACCCCCACTGTCACACTCGTGACGTCACTCCCTGTGTCAGTGCCACACTCCCGGTGTCACTCCCCCAGTGTCACCCTCCCCCAGTGTCACACTGTCCCTGCCACACTGTCCCTGTCACATTCCTGGTGTCACACCCAGTGTCACCCCCCCAGTGTCACACTCCTGATGTCACACTCCCTGTCACACTGTCCCTGTCACACTGTCACAGGTGTCACACACTCAGTGTCACGCTCAGTGTCACATCCAGTGTCACACCCCTGATGTCACACTCGGTGTCACTGTCACTCCTGGGGCCACACTCAGTGTCACACTCAGTGTCCCACGGTCCCTGTCACAGTGTCACACACTCGGTGTCACATCCAGTGTCACACCCCTGATGTCACACCCCTGATGTCACACTTGGTGTCACACTTGGTGTCACACTCCTGTCACCCACTCAGTGTCACACTCAGTGTCACACTCCTGATGTCACACTCCTGGGGCCACACTCCCTGTCACACTCGGTGTCACCCACCTGTCGGTGTCACACACTCGGTGTCACTGTCACTCCTGTCACACTCAGTGTCCCACAGTCCCTGTCACACTCAGTGTCACACTCAGTGTCACTGTCACTCCTGTCACGGTGTCACACTCCCTGTCACACACTCAGTGTCCCACACTCCCTGTCACAGTGTCACGCACTCGGTGTCACCATCACTCCTGTCACACTCAGTGTCCCACACTCCCTGTCACAGTGTCACACACTCGGTGTCACTGTCACTCCTGTCACACCCCTGATGTCACACCCCTGATGTCACACCCCTGATGTCACACTCCCTGGCACACACTCGGTGTCACACACTCGGTGCCACACTTGCTGTCACTGTCACTCCTGTCACACTCAGTGTCACACTTAGTGTCCCACGGTCACTGTCACAGTGTCACACTCCCTGTCACACTCAGTGTCACACACACATTGTCACACTCGGTGCCACCTCCCTGCCGTCGGTGCCACGCTCGCTGCCGCACTCCCTGTCACACTGCCTGGCCCTGTCACACCAACCCTGTCACACCTCCAGTGTCACACCAGCCCTGTCACACTCACACCGTCACAGTCACATTGTCACTGCCACACTCCCTGTCACAGTCATTGTCACACGTCTCACACTGTCCCTGTCACACCCCTGTGGGTGTCACACACTCCCTGTCACACCAGCCCTGTCACACTCCTGATGCCACACTGCCACTGTCACACTCCCTGTCACACCAGCCCTGTCACACCTCCAGTGTCACACCGTCCCTGTCACACCAGCCCTGTCACACTCCCTGTCCCCCTGTCCCTGTTCCCCTGTCCCTGTCACACGTGTCACACTCCCTGTCCCCCACATCCTGTCACACCTCCGTCACCTGTGTCACACTCATCTCCTGTCACACTCATTGTGGGTGTCACACACTCATCCTGTCACACTCCCTGTCCCCCTGTCCCTGTCACCCCCTCCCTGTCACACTCCTGATGTCACGCTCCCTGTCCCCCTGTCCCTGTCCCCCCCTCCCCATCCCTGTCCCCCCTCCCTGTCACACTCCTGATGTCACACTGGGGGTGTCACACACTCCCTGTCACCCCATCCCCATCCCTGTCACCCCATCCCTGTCACACTCCTGATGTCACACTCCTGATGTCACTGTCCCTGTCACACTCCCTGTCCCTGTCACCCCATCCCTGTCACACCATCCTTGTCACACTGGGGGTGTCACACACTCATTGTCACCCCCTCCCTGTCCCCCTGTCCCTGTCCCCCTGTCCCTGTCACACTCGTGATGTCACACTCCCTGTCTCCCTGTCATTGTCACACGTGTCCCCCCCATCCCCTCCCCCCATCCCTCTGCCGTTCCCATGGCAGCCACTCACCCTCCCCTCCCCTAGATCCCCAGGACCCCCCAAAAACAACTCACCGGGAATGAGGGAGGGGGCGTCCTGAGGGGTCCTGGAAGGGTCCTGGGGGGACTTGGGGTCCTGAGAGGTCCTTGGGGGATTTTGAGGGTCCTGGAGGTCAGGGAGGTCAGGGGTCCAGGGGAAAATCTGGGGTCCTGGGGATTTGGGGATCCGGGGGATTTTGGGGGTCCTGGGGGGTCCGGGAGGAGTCTGGGGAGCTTTGGGGGTCCGGGGGGTCCGGGGGTATTTTGGGGGTCCTGGGGGTCCTGGGGGATCCGGGGAGGCTTTGGGGTCCCAGGGCGATTTTGGGGGTCCAGGGAGAAATTTGGGGGTCCTGGGGAGGATTTTGGGGTCCTGGGGGATTTTGGGGCTCCCGGGTGTTTTGGGGGTCCTGGGGATTCCAGGGGGTCCGGGGGCTCCTGGGGGAAATTTGGGGGTCCTGGGGTCCCGGAGAGGAAATTTGGGAGGTCACGGGGGCTTTGGGGGTCCCGGGGGATTTTGGGGATCCGGGGATTTGGGGGTCCCAGGGGGTTAGGGGGTCCTGGGGGTCCCGGGAGGGGTCCAGGGGTTTTGGGGGTCCCAGGGAGGATTTTGGGGGTCCTGGGAGGGGTTTTGGGGGTCCCTGGGAGGATTTTGGGGGGTCCCAGGGGGGTTTTGGGGGTCCCGGGAGGGAGTCTCAGGGGTTTTTGGGAGTCCTGGGAGGATTTTGGGGGTCCCGGGGGTTTGGGGGTCCCAGGGGGTCCTAGGAGGGGGTCCCAGGGGTTTCTGGGGGTCCCGGGAGGATTTTGGGGTCCCAGGGAGGATTTTGGGGTCCCGGGGGTTTTGGGGTCCTGGGGGTCGTGGAGCCGTCAGCGGAGCCCCTGCAGGACAAGCGGCTCCCACGGGGGGAAGGGGCGGGGAAGGGGCAGGCTCTGATTGGCTGAGAGCGGCCAATGGGGGCGGGGGCGTGGCCTGAGCCCCCTCCCCCCTTTTGGGGGGGTTCATTAACAAAAAGACCCCTGGGGGCGTGGCCAGGGCTGTCAATCAACAGGAGGGGGCGTGGTCAGGGCCGGGGGTGGCTGTCAATCAATTGCGGTGGGCGTGGCCAGGGCTGTGGGCGGCTGTCAATCAACAGGAGGGGGCGGGGCTAAGGAAAGGGTTGAGCTGTCAATCAACAGGAGGGGGCGGGGCCAAGGAAGGGGCTGAGCTGTCAATCAATCGCCGTGGGCGGGGCTAAGGAAGGGGCTGAGCTGTCAATCAATCGTGGTGGGCGGGGCTAAGGGGCTGAGCTGTCAATCAATCGCCGTGGGCGGGGCTAAGGAAGGGACTGAGCTGTCAATCAATCGCTGGGGGGCGGAGCTAAGCGAGTCCCACAGTGCCCCTCTCCCCCAAAAAGACCCCTCCCCACCTCCTTGACCCCCCAAACCACTCAATTCGAGGGGGAGGGGTCAAAGTTTATTGATCCCCCAAAATTTGGGGGTTGGGGGGTCTCAGAGACCCCCTTAAATTTGGGGAGGGGGAGGGGAATTGAGGGGTTTTGGGGAGGGGGTCAGAATCCCCCAAGGTCGGGGGGGTTGGGAGCTGGATTGGGGGCGATTTTGGGGGATTTTGGGAGGATTTGGGGGATTTTGGGGGCATTTGGGGGATTTTGGGGGGATTTGGGGGAATTTGGAGGCAATTTGGGGAGGGATTTGGGGTCAGATTTGGGGCGATTTTGGGGGATTTGGGGAGGATTTGAGGGGAGGATTTTGAGGGGATTTGGGGAGGATTTGGGGGATTTTGGGGGAATTTGGGGGATTTTGGGGGATTTGGGGGATTTGGGGGTTAGGGGGATTTGTGGGGATTTTGGGGAGATTTTGGGGATTTTGGGGGTTTGGGGTCGGATTTGGGGGATTTGGGGATTTGGGGTTGATCTTGGGAAGGATTTGGGGGATTTGGGTCAGATTTGGGGGATTTTGGGGTGGGATTTGTGGGGATTTTAGGGGGATTTTGAGGAGATTTAGGAGAGATTTTTGGGAGGATTTTTGGGGGATTTTGAGGGGATTTTGGTGGGGATTTGGGGGGGATTTTGAGGTCAGATTTGGGGGGAAATTTGGGGGATTTTAGGATATTTTTGGGGAGATTTTGGGGGATTTGGGGGATTTGGGGAGGATTTTGGGGGATTTGGGGAGGATTTGGGGGATTTGGGGAGGATTTTGGGGGATTTTGGGGGATTTTGGGGTCAGATTTGAGGGGATTTTGGGAGGATTTGGGGGATTTTGGAGGGGATTTTGAGGATTTTGGGGGATTTGGGAGGGATTTGGGGTCAGATTTGGGGGATTTGGGGAGGATTTTGAGGGATTTTGGGGGATTTGGGAGGGATTTGGGAGGATTTTGAGGGGATTTTGGGGGATTTTGAGGGGATTTTGGGGATTTTGAGGGGATTTGGGAGGATTTTGGGGAGATTTTGAGGGGATTTTGGGGGATTTGGGGTCAGATTTTGGGAGGATTTTAAGGGATTTGGGGAGGATTTTGGGGGGATTTGAGAGGATTTTTGGGGGGATTTGGGGGGGATTTGGGGACGCTTTGAGGGCTCAGCCCCCAATTCAGGGGGTTCGGGGCTGTTTTTGGGGCCATTTCTGGCATTTTTGGGGTTGTTTTGGGGGGGTTTTTTGGGGGTCTCAGGGCCCCCCCAGGACCCCCCCCAGGAGCAGCCCCGTGTCCGGCCAGGGCTCCTTCAGCAGGGGCAGGATCTGTAGAGGGGGTAATTAACACTAATTAGTGCTAATTAACACTCATTAAGCCATTCACCACCCATTAACCAGTCACTAATTAACCCTAATTACCCCCATTAACCAGGTAAACCACTCCTAATTAACCACCCCCTAATTAAACCCTAATTAACACTGAATAAATAGCCATTAATTAACCCCAATTAACCAAATAACCAGCCCCTAATTAATTATGCTAACCAGGCCCTAATTAACCCCTTATTAGCGCATCAAGCACTGATAACCCCCAACAGAGTCATTAACCAGGCCCTAATTAACCCCTAATTAACACACCAATTAACCCCTAATTAACACACCAAGTATTGATACTTAACCCCAACCCAGTAATTAATGAGGGCCTAATTAACCCTGAATAAACAACCATTAATTAACCCCAATTAACCCAATAACCAACCCCTAATTAATTATGTTAACCAGGCCCTAATTAACCTTTAATTAATGCATCAAGCACTGCTAATTATCCCTCATCAAACCTAATTGACCCCATTAACCAGGTAACCCATCCTTAATTACCCACCCCCTAATTAACCTGTTAACCACCCTCTAATTAACACTGAGTGATCACCCACTAATTAACCCCAATTAACCAAGCATATAGCCCCTAACTAACCCCTAATTAACGCATCAAGCCCTGCTAATTATCTCCCACATAGTCATTAATTAACTGCTAATTAACCCCTAATTAAGGCATTAAGCAACCATTAAAACCCCGCCCCTTCCCCATTAATGAGTTTGGGGGTGGGCGTGGCCTGATTGGGTGTGGTCGGGGTGGGCGTGGCCACACAGGTGTGGGAATGTTCTAGGGGGCGTGGCCTGACTGGGTGTGGTCAGGGGGCGTGGCCCACCACCCAGAAGTGGGCGTGGCCCCACAGGTGTGGGGGCGGTTCTAGGGGCGTGGCCTGACTGGGTGTGGTCAGGATGTGGTCAGGTGGGTGTGGCCCACCATCCAGAAGTGGGCGTGGCCCTAGAGGTGTGTGGGGGGGGGATGTTCTAGGGGGCGTGGCCTAACTGGGTGTGGTCAGGGGGGCGTGTCCCACCACCCGGAAGTGGGCGTGGCCCTAGATGTATTGGGGGCATGGCCTAACTGGGTGTGGTCAGGGGGCGTGGCCACACAGGTGGGGGGGCAGTTCTAAGGGGTCCTAGGGGGCGTGGCCTAGCTGGGCGTGGCCAGGGCGTGGCCCACCAATTAGAAGTGGGTGTGGCCACACAGGTGGCCAGGTTGTTCTAGGGGGTCCTATGGGGCGTGGCCTGGCTGGGTGTGGCCAGGTGGGCGTGGCCCACCACTCAGAAGTGGGCGTGGCCACACAGATGGGGGGCAGTTCTAAGGGGTCTTAGGGGGCCTGGCCTAACTGGGTGTGGTCAGGGCGTGGCCACATGGGGGCAGTTCTAGGGGGTCGGGGGTGTGGCCTAACTGGGTGTGGTCAGGGTGTGGTCAGGGGGCGTGGTCAAACAACCAGAAATGGGCGTGGCCCTACACATGTGGGGGACGGTTCTTGGGGGCGTGGCCTAACTGGGTGTGGTCAGGGGGTGTGGCCACATGGGAGCAGTTCTAAGGGGTCCTAGGGGGTGTGGCCTAACTGGGTGTGGTCAGGGGGGCGTGGCCACACTGGGAGAAGTTCTAAGGGGTCCTGGGGGTGTGGCCTAACTGGGTGTGGTCAGGGTGTGGTCAGGTGGGCGTGGCCCACCAATTAGAAGTGGGCGTGGCCACACAGGTGGCGGGATGTTCTAGGGGGTCCTGGGGGGCGTGGCCTGACTGGGTGTGGTCAGGGGGCGTGGCCACACAGGTGGGGGGGGTTCTAGGGGGTCCTAAGGGGTGTGGCCTAACTGGGTGTGGTCAGGTGGGCGTGGCCCACCAATTAGAAGTGGGCGTGGCCACACAGGTGGGGGGGCAGTTCTAGAGGGTCCTAAGGGGCGTGGCCTGACTGGGTGTGGTCAGGTGGGCGTGGCCCACCAACTAGAAGTGGGCGTGGCCACACAGGTGGTGGGATGTTCTAGGGGGTCCTAAGGGGTGTGGCCTGGCTGGGTGTGGTCAGGGGGGTGTGGCCACACAGGTGGGGCAGTTCTAGGGGGTCCTGGGGGCATGGCCTAACTGGGTGTGGTCAGGGTGTGGTCAGGTGGGTGTGGGCGTGGTCAGGGCGTGTCCCACCTGCCGGAAGTGGGGGTGCTGGCTGTCCCTGAGCAGCAGCAGGAGGGGGCGTGGCTCTATTTTTGGGGGGTTCTGGGGGCGTGGCCTGTCAGGGTGTGGTCAGGTGGGTGTGGGCGTGGTCAGGGCGTGGCCAGGGCGTGTCCCACCTGCCGGAAGTGGGGGTGGTGGCTGTCCCTGAGCAGCAGCAGGAGGGGGCGTGGCTGTACTTGGGGGTTCGGGGGCGTGGTCTGACTGGGCGTGGTCAGGTAGATGTGGGCGTGGTCAGGGTGTGGTCAGGGCGTGTCCCACCTGCCGGAAGTGGGGGTGGTGGCTGTCCCTGAGCAGCAGCAGGAGGAGGGGAGGGGGCGTGGCTCTATTTTGGGAGGGTTCTGGGGGCGTGGCCTAACTGGGTGTGGTCAGGGCGTGGTCAGGGCGTGGTCAGGGCGTGTCCCACCTGCCGGAAGTGGGGGTGCTGGCTGTCCCTGAGCAGCAGCAGGAGGGGGATGGGGTGGCTGTATTTTGGGGGGTGTGGCCTGGCTGGGTGTGGTCAGGGCGTGGTCAGGGCGTGGCCAGGTGGGTGTGGGCGTGGTCAGGGCGTGTCCCACCTGCCGGAAGTGGGGGTGGTTGCTGTCCCTGAGCAGCAGCAGGAGGAGGGGGCGTGGCTCTATTTTGGGGGTTCTGGGGGCGTGGCCTGTCAGGGTGTGGTCAGGTGGGTGTGGGCGTGGTCAGGGCGTGGCCAGGGCGTGTCCCACCTGCCGGAAGTGGGGGTGGTGGCTGTCCCTGAGCAGCAGCAGGAGGGGGGCGTGGCTCTATTTGGGGGTCTGGGGGCGTGGCCTGTCAGGCGTGGTCAGATGGATGTGGGCGTGGTCAGGGCGTGGTCAGGGCGTGTCCCACCTGCCGGAGAGTGGGGGTGCTGGCTGTCCCTGAGCAGCAGCAGGAGGAGGGGCGTGGCTCTATTTTGGGGGGTTCTGGGGGCGTGGCCTGACTGGGTGTGGTCAGGTGGGTGTGGGCGTGGTCAGGGCGTGGTCAGGGCGTGTCCCACCTGCCAGAAGTGGGGGTGCTGGCTGTCCCTGAGCAGCAGCAGCAGGAGGGGCGTGGCTCTATTTTGGGGGTTCTGGGGCGTGGCCTGACTGGGCGTGGTCAGGGCGTGGTCAGGTGGATGTGGGTGTGGTCAGGGCGTGTCCCACCTGCCGGAAGTGGGGGTGGTGGCTGTCCCTGAGCAGCAGCAGGAGGGGGGCGTGGCTCTATTTTGGGGGGTTCTGGGGGGCGTGGCCTGACTGGGCGTGGTCAGGGCGTGGTCAGGTGGGTGTGGGCGTGGTCAGGGCGTGTCCCACCTGCCGGAAGTGGGGGTGCTGGCTGTCCCTGAGCAGCAGCAGGAGGGGGGCGTGGCTCTATTTTGGGGGGGTTCTGGGGGGCGTGGCCTGTCAGGGTGTGGTCAGGTGGATGTGGGCGTGGCCAGGGCGTGGCCAGGGCGTGTCCCACCTGCCGGAAGTAGGGGTGGTGGCTGTCCCTGAGCAGCAGCAGGAGGGGGCGTGGCTCTATTTTGGGGGTTCTGGGGGGCGTGGCCTGTCAGGGTGTGGTCAGGTGGGTGTGGGCGTGGTCAGGGCGTGTCCCACCTGCCGGAAATGGGGGTGGTGGCTGTCCCTGAGCAGCAGCAGGAGGGGATGGGGTGGCTGTATTTTGGGGGTGTGGCCTGGCTGGGTGTGGTCAGGGCGTGGTCAGGGCGTGGTCAGGTGGATGTGGGCGTGGCCAGGGCGTGTCCCACCTGCCGGAAGTGGGGGTGGTGGCTGTCCCTGAGCAGCAGCAGGAGGAGGGAGGGGGCGTGGCTGTATTTTTGGGGTGTGGCCTGTCAGGGTGTGGTCAGGGCGTGTCCAGGTGGATGTGGGCGTGGTCAGGGCGTGTCCCACCTGCCGGAAATGGGGGTGGTGGCTGTCCCTGAGCAGCAGCAGGAGGGGGGCGTGGCTCTATTTTGGGGGGGTTCTGGGGGGCGTGGCCTGTCAGGGCGTGGTCAGGGCGTGGTCCAGGTGGGTGTGGGCGTGGTCAGGGCGTGTCCCACCTGCCGGAAGTGGGGGTGCTGGCTGTCCCTGAGCAGCAGCAGGAGGGCGCTCTCGCAGCTCGTCAGGAAGGCCCCGCTCTGGCGCATCCGGGACAGGGCTATGGCTCGTTCTTCCTGGCTGGGGACCCCAAAAATCACCCCAAAATACCCCAAAAATATCCCAAAATTACCCCAAAATACAGCTGAGATCCCCCCCAAAATACCCCAAAAATATCCCAAAATTACCCCAAAATACACCTGAGATCCCCCCAAAATACCCCAAAAACACCCAAAAAATACCCCAAAAATACCCCAAAATACCCCTAAATACACCTGAGATCCCCCCCAAAATACACCTGAGATCCCCCCCCAGAAAACACCCCAAAATACCCCCAAAATACCCCAAAATACATCTGAGATCCTCCCCAAAAATACCCCAAATTACCCCAAAATACACCTGAGATCCCCCCCCAGCTACAGCTCATTCCTCCTGGCTGGGGACCCCAAAAATCACCCCAAAATACCCCAAAAATATCCCAAAATTACCCCAAAATACACCTGAGATCCCCCCCAAAATGCATCTGAGATCCCCCCCCCAAAAAACACCCCAAAATACCCCAAAATACATCTGAGACACCCCCCCAGCCACGGCTCGTTCTTCCTGGCTGGGGACCCCCAAAATCACCCAAAAATACCCCAAAATACCCCAAAAATACACCTGAGACCCCCCCCAACATCCCCTCCCAGCCATGACCTGCTCCTCCTGGCTGGGGACCCCAAAATACCCCAAAAATACCCTAAAAATACACCTGAGATCCCCCAAAATACCCCAAAATACCCCAAAATACACCTGAGATCCCCCAGCCACGGTTTGTTCCTCCTGGCTGGGACCCCCAAAATCACCCCAAAATCACCCCAAAAACACCTCAAAATACCCCAAAAATACCCCAAAATACACCTGAGATCCCCCCCAAAATACACCTGAGATCCCCCCCAAAATACCCCAAAAATACCCTAAATTATACCTGAGATACCCCAATACCCCCTCCCAGCCATGGCCCGTTCTTCCTGGCTGGGGACCCCCAAAAACACCCCCAAATTACCCCAAAACCACCCCAAAATACACCTGAGATCCCCCCAAAATACACCTGAGATCCCCCCCAAAATACATCTGAGATCCCCCCCCCAAAACACCCCCAAAATACCCCAAAATACACCTGAGATCCCCCCCAGCCATGGCTCGTTCTTCCTGGCTGGGAGACCCCCAAAAATCACCCCAAAATACTCCAAAAATACCCCAAAATACACCTGAGACCCCCCAAAATACATCTGAGATCCCCCCAAAACACCCCAAAATACCCCAAAATACACCTGAGATCCCCCCCAAAATACACCTGAAATACCCCCAAAATACACCTGAGATCCCCCCCCAGCCACGGCTCGTTCTTCCTGGCTGGGGACCCCCAAAAATCACCCCAAAATACCCCAAAAATACCCCAAAATTACCCCAAAATACACCTGAGATCCCCCCCAAAATACCCCAAAAACACCCCAAAAAATACCACAAAATTACCCCAAAATACACCTGAGATCCCCCCCCAGCCACGGCTCGTTTTTCCTGGCTGGGAGACCCCAAAAATACCCCAAAATACCCCAAAATAGAGCTAGGACCCCCCAAAAAACCCCCCCAAAAAACCCCAGGCACCCCAGGACCCCCAGGACCCCCCAAAACCTCCCCAAAATCCCCCCAAAAGCCCCCCAGGACCCGCCAAAGCCCCCTCCAAGACCCCCAAACCCCCAAAATCACCCCCTCCCCGGACCCCCAGACTCCCCAGGATCCCCAGGACCCCCAAAACCCCTCAGGACCCCCAGGACCCCCAAAAAGCCCCCAGGACCCCCAAAGCCTCCCAAGATCCCCAAAACCCCCCAGGACCCCCAAAAAGCCCCCAGGACCCCCAAAGCCCCTCCAAGACCCCCAAACCCCGCAAAATGACCCCTCCGGACACCCCAGACCCCCAGGACCCCCAGGATCCCAAAACCCCCAGGACCCCCAAAGCCCCCAGGACCCCCAAAGCCCCCCAGGATCCCCAAAAGCCCCCAGGACCCCCAAAGCCCCCAAGACCCCCAAACCCCCCAAAATCACCCCCTCCCAGGACCCCTCAGATCCCCCAGGACCCCCAGGACCCCAAAATCCCCCAGGACCCCCAAAACCCCCAAAAGCCCCAGGACCCCCAAACCTGCGGGAGGAGCAGGCATTGACCACGAGCGTGCACGTCCAGACCCCCAAAAACCCCCCAAAACCCCCAAAACTCACCCAAAATCCCCAAAATCACCCCTCCCGGACCCCCCAGACCCCAGGACCCCAAAACCCTCAGGACCCCAGGACCCCCAAAAGCCCCCAAACCTGCGGGAGGCAGGCATTGACCACGACGTGCACGATCCAGACCCCCAAAAACCCCCAAAATCCCCAAAACCCCCAAAATCACCCTCCTCGGACCCCCAGACCCCCAGGACCCCCAAACCCCCAAAGCCCCCAGGACCCCCAGAACCCCCAAACCTTCGGGAGGAGCAGGCATTGACCACGACGTGCCGTCCAGCCCCCAAAAACCCCCAAAACCCCCAAAAACCCCCAAAATCCCCAAAATCACCCCCTCCCCGGACCCCCAGACCCCCCAGGATCCCCAAGCCCCCAAAACCCCTCAGGACCCCCAAAAAGCCCCCAGGACTCCCCCAAAGCCCCCCAGGACCCCCAAAGCCTCCCCAAATCCCCCAAAACCTCCCCAGGACCCCCCAGTCCCCCAAATCCCCAAAATCACCCCCTCCCCGGACCCCCCAGACCTCCCAGGATCCCCCAAACCCCCAGGATCCCCAGGACCCCCAAAGCCCCCCAGGATCCCCAAAAAGCCCCCAGGACCCCCAAAGCCCCCAGGATCCCCAAAAAGCCCCCAGGACCCCCAAAGCCCCCTCCAAGACCCCCAAACTCCCCAAAATCACCCCCTCCCCGGACCCCCAGACCCCCAGGATCCCCAGGACCCCCAAAACCCCTCAGGACCCCCAGGACCCCTGCAAAGCCCCCCCATGAACCCCCACAAATAGTGGGACCCCTGTGACCTCCCAAACTCCCCTAAAAAGCCCCCAGGACCCCCAAAGCCCTCCAAGACCCCAAAGCCCCCCAAAATCACCCCCTCCCCGACCCCAGACCTCCCAGGACTCCTCCCAGACACTCAGGACCCCCAAAGCCCCCAGGACTCCTCAGCATCCCCAAACCTGGAGAGGGCAGGCATTGACCATGACGTGTGCGTCCAGACCCCCTAAACCCCCAAATCACCCAAAATCACCCAAATCCCCCAAATCCCCTCCTCGGGATCCCCAGACCCCCAGGACCCCAGGACCCCAAAACCCCCCAGCCCCCCCAGGACCCACCAGGATCCCCCAAAGCCCCCAGGACCTCCCAAAGCCTCCCCAAATCCCCCAAGAACTTCCCCAGGACCCCCAAAAGCCCCTCCAAGACCCCCAAATCACCCCTCCCTGGACACCCCAGACCCCCAGGACCCCAGGACCCCCAGGACCCCCAGGATCCCCCAAAACCCCTCAGGACCCCCTAAAACGCCCCCAAACCTGCGGGAGGAGCAGGCATTGACCACGACGTGCACGTCCAGACCCCCAAAACCCCAAAAACCCCAAAATCCCCCAAAATCACCCCTCCCCGGACCCCCAGACCCCCAGGACCCCAAAGACCCCCAGGACCCCAAAACCCCTAGGACCCCCCAAAAGCCCCCAAACCTTCGGGAGGAGCAGGCATTGACCACAACGTGCACGTCCAGATCCTCCAAAAACCCCCAAAACCCCCAAAACCCCCAAAACCCCCAAAATCACCCTCCCCGGACCCCCTAGACCCCCAGGACCCCCAGGACCCCTAAAACCCCAGGACCCCCCAAAGCCCCCCAAACCTGCGGGAGGAGCAGGCATTGACCACCACGTGCCGTCCAGCCCCCGCTCCAGCAGGTCCAGAGTCGTTTGCTGGGGGGAGAGAAATTCAGGTGCAGGACCCAAACCCCCAGAATCCCCCAAATTCCAACAGGATCCCCAAATTCAACAGGGACCCCAAAACCCCCCAGGGAGCACCCAAATCCCTCAAATCACCCCAAATCCCTCCAGGACCCCCCAAATCCCAATCCAGGAGCCCCCAACTCCCCAAAATCCCCCTCAGACCCCTCCCAGGACCCCCAAACCCCTCCAGACCCCCAAGACCCCCAAATCCCTTCCTGACACCCCCAGGACCCCCAAATTCCACCAGGATCCCCCAAACCCCTCCAGGACCCCAAAATTCTTCTAGGACCCCCAAAACCACCCCAAATCCCCTCTAGGAACCCCTAACCCCCCAAATCATCCTAAATCCCCCAAACCCTCCAGGACCCCAAATCCCCCAACCCCCCAAATCCTCTAGGATCCCCCAAAATCCCCCAAATCTCCCAACCCCCAAATCCCTCTAGGACCCCAAATCCTCCAGGACCCTAAATCCCATCCAGGACCCCCAAACCCCCAACTTTGGGGTCCCCCTCACCATGCAGGCAGGCTTGGGACCCCAGCCCCCAAACCCCCAAACCCCCAGGACCCCCAAACCCTCCAAATTTGGGGTCCCCCTCACCAGCAGGCAGGCCTCCCCAAACCCCCTCAAACCCCCCAAATTCCTCCTAACCCCCAACCCCCCAAATCCCCTCAAATCCCCCAAATCCTCAGGACCCCCTCCAACCCCCAAATCCCTCTAGGACCCCAAGCCTCCCCAAACCTCCCCAAATCCCCTCTGGGACCTCCCAAATCACCCCCAGCCTCCCCAAATCCCTCTAGGACCCCAAATCCCTCTAGGACCCCCAAATCCTCTCTAGGACCCCCAAATCCCCTCTAGGACTCCCCAATCACCCCAAATCCCCCAAATCCCCCAAATTTGGGGTCCCCCTCACCAGCAGGCAGGCCTGAGACCCCCAGCCCCCAAACCCCCAGGACCCCCAAATTTGGGGTCCCCCTCAGCAGCAGGCAGGCCTGGGACCCCAGCCCCCAAACCCCTCCAGGACCCTCAAACCCCCCAGATCCCCTCTAGGACCCCCAAACCCCCCAGATCCCCCAAACCCCCCAAATTTGGGGTCCCCCTCACCAGCAGGCAGGCCTGGGACCCCCAGCCCCCAAAACCCCTCCAGGACCCCCAAATCCCCCAAACCTCCCCAGGACCCCCAAATCCCTCTAAGACCCCCAAACCCCCAAACCCCCCAAATTTGGGGTCCCCCTCACCAGCAGGCAGGCCTGGGATCCCCAGCCCCCAAACCCCTCAGGACCCCTCAAACCCCCCAGATCCCCTCTAGGACCCCCAAACCCCTCAGATCCCCCAAACCCCCCAAATTTGGGCCCCCTCACCAGCAGGCAGGCCTGGGACCCCAGCCCCCAAACCCCTCCAGGACCCCCAAACCCCCAAACCTCCCCAGGACCCCCCAAATCCTCTAGGACCCCCAAACCCCCAAACCCCCAAATTTGGGTTCCCTCACCAGCAGGCCCAGGACCCCAGCCCCCAAACCCCTCCAAGACCCCCAAAGCCCCTCAAAACCCCCAAATCCCTCAAAATCCTCCCCAAATTCCCTCTAGGACCCCCAAACCCCTCCAGACCCCCAAATCCCCCTCAAAACCCCTCCAGGCCCCCAAATCACCCCAAATCCCTCTAGGACCCCCAAACTCCCCAAATCCCTCAAATCCCCCAAATCCTCCCCAAATCCCCCAAATTCTCCCAATATCCCTCCAAATCCCCCAAACTCCCTCAAAACCCCCAAATCCCCCAGCTCCCCCAAACCCCCCAAACCCCCAAATTGGGTCCCCCTCACCAGCAGGCAGGCTCCCCCAACCCCCTCCCAAACCCCCAAACCCCCAAATCCCTCAAACCCCCAAACCCCCAAATTTGGGGTCCCCCTCACCAGTAGGCAGGCCTGGGACCCCAGCCCCCAAACCCCCTAAGACCCCTCTAGGACCTCCAAACCCCCAAACCCCCAAATTTTGGTTCCCCCTCACCAGCAGGCAGGCTCCCCCAAACCCCCTCCCAAACCCCCAAATCCTCCCAAATCCCTCTAGGACCCCCTCAAACCCCCAAATTTGGGGTTCCCCCTCACCAGCAGGCAGGCCTGGGACCCTCAGCCCCCAAATCACCCCAAACCCCCAGGACCCCCAAATTTGGGTCCCCCTCACCAGCAGGCAGGCTCCCCAAACCCTCAAATGCCCCCCAAAACCCCCAAATCACCCCCAAATCCCCTCAGGACCCTCAAGCCCCCAAATCCTCAAATCCCCCAAATCCTCCCCAAAATCCCCCAAATCCCCCAAATTTCCCAAAATCCCCAAATCCTCCAAATTTCCCAATATCCCCCAAACCCCAGGACCTCCCAAACCCCCAGGACCCCCAAATTTGGGGTCCCCCTCACCAGCAGGCAGGCCTGGGACCCCAGCCCCAAACCCCCAAACGCCCCAAATCACCCCAAATCCCCTCCAGGACCCCCAAACCCCCCAAAATCCCCTCTAGGACCCCTAAACTCCCCAAACCCCCTCCAGGATCCCCAACCCCCAAATCACCCCCAAATCTCTCTAGGACCCTCAGGACCCCCAAACCCCCCAAATTTGGGGTCCCCCTCACCAGCAGGCAGGCCTGGGACCCCAGCCCCAAACCCTTCCAGGACCCCCAAACCCCCCAAATCCCTCTAGATCCCCAAACCCCCAAATCCCCTCTAGGACCCCCTAAACTCCCCCAAACCCCTCCAGGACCCCCAAATCCCCCCAAACCCCTCTAGGACCCCCAAATCACCCCAAACCCCCCCAACTCCCCCTAGAATCTCCCAAAATCCCTCTACAGACCCCCAAACCCCCAGTGACCCCCCCAATTTGGGGTCCCCTCACCAACAGGCAGGCCTGGGATCTCAGCCTCCCAAACTCCTTCCAGACCCCCAGCCCCCCAAACCCCCCAATTGGGATCCCCCTCACCAGCAGGCAGGCCTGGGATCTCAGCCCCCCAAACCTCCTCCAGACTCCCAAACCCCCCCAAATCCCCCCAAATTTGGGGTCCCCCTCACCAGCAGGCAGGCCTGGGCCTCGATGCCGCAGAGGAGCACGGAGCGGATTTTGGGGTCCCCCTCCCCAGCAGGGCCCTCACGGCCCCCACCCCCACCATGCTGAAACAGCTCTTGGGGTGCCGGGGCAGGTCCTGAGCCCCCAACTCGGGCACCGTGGGCCCCAAAAGCTCCGGGCGCTGCTCGGTCACCAGGGCCGGGACCCCAAAATCCGGCACCCCTGGGGGATCAGAAGGATTTTTGGGAGGTTTGAGGGTTTAAGGGGGGATTTGGGGAGTTTAAGGAGATTTGGGGGGGTTTAGAGGATTTGAGGGGATTTGGGGGTTTAGAGGGATTTGGGTGGGTTTGAGAGGGATTTGAGGGGATTTGAGGGGTTTTGGGTAGGTTTAGGGATTTGAGGAGATTTGAGGAGGATTTGGGGCTTTGAGAGGGATCAGGGAGGGGTTTAGGGAGATTTAGAGGGTTTAAGTGAGTTTGGGGGATTTAAGAGATTTGAGGGACTTGGGGAGAGGGATTTGGGAGATCTGGAAGACTTGGGATGGATTGGGGAGGATTTGGGGAGGTTTGAGAGGTTTGAAGGGATTTGAGGGATTTAGAGACTTAGGGGTTTGAGGGGGTTTTGAGGGGACATTAGAGGTGGAACTATAGCTGGGACTTAGGGAGGACTTGAGGGGATTTGGGAGGGATTTGGGGTGATTTGGGGGGGATTTGAGGGAGTCAGGAAAGGATTTTGAGGGGTTTTGGGAAATTTGGGGGATTTAAGGGGATTTGAGGGGGTTTTGAGGGCTTGAGCCTCAACTCGGGCACCGTGGGCCCAAAACCTCCGGCGCTGCTCGGTCATCAGAGCCGGGACTCCCAAAATCCGGCACCTGGGGAGCAGGAAAAGGTTTGGGGGATTTAGGGGGCTTAGGTGGGATTTGGGGGTTTTAGAGGATTTGAGAGGGTTTAAGAGGGATTTGGGGGTTTGAGGAAATTTGGGGGATTTGAGGGAGGTTTAGGGGGATTTTGAGGGATTTGGGAAATTTGGGGGATTTGGGGAGAATTTGAGGGGATTTGAGGGATTTTGGGGAGTCAGGAAGGGATTTTGGGGGATTTAGGGGTCAGGAAGGATTTGGGGGTTTAGAGGGATTTGGGGGTTTGGGGGATTTGAGGGGTTTTGAGGAGTTTGAGCCCCCAACTCGGGCACCGTGGGCCCCAAAACCTCCGGGCGCTGCTCGGTCACCAGAGCTGGGACCCCAAAATCCGGGCACCCTGGGGGGCACAGAAGGATTTTGGGGGGTTTGAGGAGTTTAAGGAAGGGATTTGGGGGGTTTAAGAGAGCTTGAGGGTTTAGGAAATTTAGGGGATGAGGATTTTGGGGCAGGACTTTGAGGGAGTCAGGAAAGGATTTTGGGGGTTTGAGAATTTGGGAGGGTTTAGGAGGATTTGGAGGTTGGAGAAGATCTAGGGGATTTGAGGGATTTGAGGGAGATTTGGAGGGATTTGAGGGTTTGAGGAGTTTGAGGGGATTTGGGGGTTCATGGGATTTGGGGGTTTAGGAGGATTTGAGGGGTTTTAGGGGATTTGGGGGACTTAGAGGGATTTAGGGGGGGATTTGAGAGGTTTAGGGGATTTGAGAGGGTTTAGAGGTTTGAGGGGTTTGAGGGAGATCCTGAGCCCCCAACTCGGGCACCGTGGGCCCCAAAACCTCCGGGCGCTGCTCGGTCACCAGAGCCGGGACCCCCAAAATCCGGCACCCCTGGGGGATTAGGGGGTCAGGAAGAGTCTGGATTTGGAAATTTAGGGGATTCAGGGAGGTTTGAGTGGAAATTTGGGGATTTGAGGATTTGAGGGTGATTTTGGGAAATTTGGGGGGTTTAGAAGGGTTTGAGGGCTTTAGGAAATTTGGGGGCTTAAGGGATTTGGGGCACTTAGGGGGCTTAAGAGGATTTGGGGATCTGCAAGATTCTGGGAGATTTGAGGGGTTAGGAGGATTGAGAGGTTCTGAAACTGGGGAGGATCTGGGGAGATTTGAGGGGATTTGAGGGGTTTAGGGGGACTTGAGTGGGTTTGAGGGGATTTAGGGGGGATTTAGGGGGATTTGAGGGGACTTAGGGGGTTTGGGGAAGGTCAGGAAGGGATTTTAGGGGATTTAGGAGTCAGGAACGGATTTGAGGGGAGACTGTGAGAGTGTAAGAGGATTTGGGGGAACCCTGGGGGTTTGGAGGGGTTTCAAGAGGATTTGGGGGATTTTGAAATGTATGGGGGATTTGGGAGGACTTAGAGGGATTTAGGTAGTTCTGGAGGTATTTTTGGTGTTTTGGGGTGTTTTGAGGCACTTTGAGCATTTTGGGGCAGATTTTAGGGGTGTCTGGGGTGGTTTTACGTGTTTTTGGCATGTGGGGGTATTTTGGCGTGTTTTTGGGGTATTTTGGGGTGGTTTTGAGGTATTTCAGGACGTTTTCAGTGTTTCTGGTGTATTTTTGGGGCATTTAGGGTGCTTTTGAGGGTGTTTCGAGAGCCGTACCTGCAGCATCCGGGCGGCCACGGCCACGACCTCGGGAGAGGCGGCGACGGAGCCGCGGAACGCTCCTGGAGATCACAGAGGAAGAGCAGGGAGGAACAGGGGTCCAACCGACCCAGGGGACGTCCTGGGGCATCATCCACCTGGGGGACACCTGGGGACAGGTGGGGACAGTTGGGGACAGTTGGGGACAGGTGGGGACAGGTGGGGACAGGTGGGGGAGCTCAGGAAACGACTCCTGGAGATCACAGAGGAAGAGCAGAGGAGGAACGGGGTCCAACCTGCCCAAACGGGGCATCATCCACCTGGGGGGACACCTGGGGACAGTTGGGACAGCTGGGGACACCTGGGGACAGGTGGGGACAGGTGGGGACAGTTGGGGACAGTTGGGGACAGGTGGGGAGCTCAGAAACGCTCCTGGAGATCACAGAGGAAGAGCAGAGAGGAACGGGGTCCAATCGGACCCAGGGACGTCCTGGGAGCATCATCCACCTGGGGGGACACCTGGGGACAGGTGGGGACAGTTTGGGGACAGGTGGGGACAGTTTGGGGACAGGTGAGTGGGACAGTTTGGGGGCACAGGAAACGCTCCTGGAGATCACAGAGGAACAGGAGAGAGGAACGGGGGTCCAACCTGCCCAGGGGACGTCCTGGAGCCATCATCCACCTGGGGGGACACCTGGGGACAGTTGGGACAGTTGGGGACAGTTTGGGGACGGTTGGGACAGGTGGGGACAGTTGGGGGCTCAGGAAACGCTCCTGGAGATCACAGAGGAACAGGAGGGAGGAACGGGGGTCCAACCGACCCAAACGGGGCATCATCCACCTGGGGGGACACCTGGGGACAGGTGGGGACAGGTGGGGACAGGTGGGGACAGGTGGGGACAGTTGAGGGACAGGTTGGGACAGTTGGGGACAGTTGAGGACAGTTGGGGACAGGTGGGACAGTTGGGGACAGGTGGGGACGAGGTGGGGACAGTTGGGAACAGTTGGGGACCCCCAAAGCCCCCAAATCCCCAAAACCCCCAAAAATCCCCCAAATCGCCCCCCGCGACCCCCCACGCGAGTGTCACTCGCGTCACGTGACCCGCCGCGCCACGCCCCCTCATTCGCTCTCAGCCAATCAGAAGCCGCCTTTCCGCCACGCCCACCCTCATCGCGGCCAATCAGAGCCCGCCGAAGCCGCCGGCCAATGGGAAGTGTGGGACGGCGATGGCCACGCCCCTTTTTGCGCTTTCAGCCAATCGGGTGGGGAGGGGGCGGGGCCTCCTCGAGGAGGGGGCCGGAGTAAGGAACCAACGGGCCCCAAAACCACCCTAAAATAACCCAAAAATAGCCCCAAATAGATTTGGGGGATTTGAGGGAGTCAGGAAGGATTTTGAGGGGTTTTGGGAAATTTGGGGGTTTAAGGGGATTTGAGGGGTTTTGGGGGTTTGAGCCCCAACTCGAGCACCGTGGCCCCAAACCTCCGGGCGCTGCTCGGTCACCAGAGGCTGGACCCCCAAAATCCGGCACCTGGGGAGCAGGAAAAGGTTTGGGGGATTTAGGGGGCTTAGTGGGATTTGGGGGTTTAAGGGGATTTGAGGGGTTTAAGGGGATTTGGGGGTTTGGGGAAATTTGGGGGATTTGGGGAGGTTTAGGGGATTTTGGGGATTTTGGGAAATTTGGGGATTTGGGGAGATTTTGGGGGATTTGAGGGGATTTTGGGGAGTCAGGAAGGGATTTTGGGGGATTTAGGGGGTCAGGAAGGGATTTGGGGGTTTAGGGGGATTTGGGGGTTTTGGGGGATTTGAGGGGGTTTTGGGGGTTTGAGCCCCCAACTCGGGCACCGTGGCCCCAAACCTCCGGGCGCTGCTCGGTCACCAGAGCTGGGACCCCAAAATCCGGGCACCCTGGGGCACAGAAGGATTTTTGGGGGTTTGAGGGTTTAAGGGGATTTGGGGGTTTAAGGGGATTTGGGGGTTTAGGAAATTTGGGGATTTGAGGGATTTCGGGGTTTAGGGGATTTGGGGAGTCAGGAAAGGATTTTGGGGGTTTGGAAATTTGGGAGGGTTTAGGGGGATTTGGGGGTTGGGAAATTTGGGGGATTTGAGGATTTGGGGAGATTTGGGGATTTGAGGGGTTTGGGGGATTTGAGGGGATTTGGGGGTTCAAGGGATTTGGGGGTTTATGGGATTGAGGGTTTAGGGATTTGGGGGCTTAGGGGATTTAGGGGGATTTGGGGTTTAGGGGGATTTGGGGTTTAGGGGTTTGAGGGGGTTTGGGGCAGGTCCTGAGCCCCCAACTCGGGCACTGTGGGCCCTAAACCTCCGGGCGCTGCTCGGTCACCAGAGCTGGGACCCCAAGATCCGGCACCCCTGGGGGATTGGGGGTCAGGAAGGGGTTTAGGGATTTTGGGAAATTTGGGGGATTTGGGGAGGTTTAGTGGAAATTTGGGGGATTTGAGGGATTTGAGGGTGATTTTGGGAAATTTGGGGGGTTTAGGGGATTTGGGGGTTTAGGGAAATTTGGGGAGTTTAAGGGGATTTGGGGGACTTAGGGGGTTTGAGGGGATTTGGGGATTTGGGGAGATTTTGGGGGATTTGAGGGTTTAAGGGGATTTGAGGGGTTTGGGAAATTTGGGGAGGATCTGGAGAGATTTGAGGATTTGAGGGGATTTAGGGAGATTTGGGGGGTTTGGGGGATTTGGGGGATTTAGGGGATTTAGGGGGATTTAGGGGATTTGGGGAGGATCAGGAAGGATTTGGGGGATTTAGGGGTCAGGGAAGGGATTTGGGAAATTTGGGGGTGTAGGGGATTTGGGGAAATTTGGGGGTTTAGGGGTTTTAAGGGGGATTTGGGGGGGTTTTGGGAAATTTATGGGGGATTTGGGGGGGATTTAGAGGGGATTTAGGTGGTTTTGGAGGTATTTTTGGTGTTTTTGGGGTGTTTTGGGGCACTTTGAGGTATTTTGGGGCGGTTTTTAGGGGTGTTTGGGGTGGTTTTTACGTGTTTTTTTGGCATGTAGGGGTATTTTGGCGTGTTTTTGGGGTATTTTGGGGTGGTTTTGAGGTATTTCAGGACGTTTTTTCAGTGTTTCTGGTGTATTTTGGGGCATTTAGGGGTGTTTTTGGGACGTTTCGGGGGCCGTACCCGCAGCATCCGGGCGGCCACGGCCACGACCTCGGGGAAGGCGGCGACGGAGCCGCGGAAACGCTCCTGGAGATCACAGAGGAAGAGCAGGGAGGAACGGGGGTCCAGACGGCCCAGGGGACGTCCTGGAACCATCATCCACCTGGGGGGACACCTGGGGACAGGTGGGGACAGGTGGGGACAGGTGGGGACAGGTGGGGACAGGTGGGGACAGGTGGGGGCTCAGGAAACGCTCCTGGAGATCACAGAGGAAGAGCAGAGAGGAACGGGGGTCCAATCGACCCAAACGAGCCATCATCCACCTGAGGGGACACCTGGGGACACCTGGGGACAGGTGGGGACAGGTGGGGACAGTTGGGGACAGTTGGGGACAGGTGGGGGCTCAAGAAACGCTCCTGGAGATCACAGAGGAAGAGCAGAGAGGAACGGGGGTCCAATCGACCCAGGGGACGTCCTGGGGGCATCATCCACCTGGGGGGACACCTGGGGACAGGTGGGGACAGTTTGGGGACAGGTGGGGACAGTTTGGGGACAGGTGGGGACAGTTGGGGGCTCAGGAAACGCTCCTGGAGATCACAGAGGAACAGGAGAGAGGAACGGGGGTCCAACCTGCCCAGGGGACGTCCTGGAGCCATCATCCACCTGGGGGGACACCTGGGGACACCTGGGGACAGTTGGGACAGTTGGGGACAGGTGGGACAGTTGGGACAGTTGGGGACACCTGGGGACAGGTGGGGACAGTTGGGGACAGGTGGGGACAGGTGGGGACAGTTGGGACAGGTGGGGACAGGTGGGGACCCCCAAAACCCCAAAAACCCCCCAAAACCCCCCCAAAATGCCCCAAAATCGCCCCCGCGACCCCCACGCGAGTGTCACCTCCGCGTCACGTGACCCGCCGCGCCACGCCCCCTCATTCGCTCTCAGCCAATCAGAAGCCGCCTTTCCGCCACGCCCACCCTCATCGCGGCCAATCAGAGCCCGCCGAAGCCGCCGGCCAATGGGAAGTGTGGGAGGGCGGTGGCCACGCCTCCTTTTCGCGCTTTCAGCCAATCGGATGGGGAGGGGGGCGGGGCCTCCCCGGGGAGGGGGCGGGGCCGTTAAAGGAACCAACGGGACCCCAAAAAATGCCCAAAATAACCCAAAAATAACCCCAAAGTAGCCCCAAAATAGAACAAAGTAGCCCCAAACGGCCCAAAATGGCCCAAAATAGCCCCAAAATAGACCCCAAATGGCCCAAAGTAGCCAAAGTGCTCCCAGTACTGTCCAGTGACCCCCAGTGCTCCCAGTATTCCCAGTGACCCCCAGTGCTCCCAGTACCGCCCAGTGACCCCCAGTATTCCCAGTGACCCCCAGTGCTCCCAGTACCGCCCAGTGACCCCCAGTGCTCCCAGTACTGTCCAGTGACCCCCAGTGCTCCCAGTGACCCCCAGTGCTCTCCAGTGACCCCCAGTGCCATCCAGTGACCCCCAGTGCTCCCAGTACCATCCAGTGACCCCCAGTGCTCCCAGTACTGTCCAGTGACCCCCAGTGCTCCCAGTACTGTCCAGTGACCCCCAGTGCTCCCAGTGACCCCCAGTACCGCCCAGTGATCCCCAGCGCTCCCAGTACTGTTCAGTGATCTCCAGTGCCTTCCAGTGACCCCCAGTGCTCCCAGTGCTCCCAGTACTGCCCAGTAACCCCCAGTGCTCCCAGTGACCCCCAGTACTGTCCAGTGACCCCCAGCGCTCCCAGTACCGCCCAGTAACCCCCAGTGCTCCCAGTACCGTCCAGTGACCCCCAGCACTGTCCAGTGACCCCCAGTACTGTCCAGTGACCCCCAGTACTCCCAGTATTCCCAGTATTCCCAGTCAGTATTCCCAGTCCCTCCCCGATCCCGCCGCGCTCCCATTCCCTGCAGAGCCCGCGCTCCGATTGGCCGAGCGCCACGTCCATCTCCCCAATCCCCGCCCTCCCCGCGGCGGTTCCCGCAGCTGATTGGCCCTTCTCCCTTCCCGCCCTTTCTCCCCCTGCCCTGCTCCTCTCCCATTGGCCTCTGGCCCCGTCAATCCCTCCCCGCCCTCCCTCCCGGTTGGTCCCCGCCCTTGTCCATCAGGCTGGGCGGGCGCTGATTGGCCGGGGCGGGGCGGGGGGGCGGGAGTTGGAGGCGTGAGGGGGCTGAGGGGGAGAGGGGTCCGCCATGGCGGAGCCTGAGGCGGCGGCGGCCGGGACGGACCCGGGAACGACCGGGACGGGCCCGGGAGCGGCCGGGAATGGCCCCGAGGAGGAACCCTTGGGGCCCCTGGACCTGCTGGATCACTGCGGGCGCTGCCGGGAGCGCCTGAGCCCCCGGCGGGAGCCGCGGCTCCTGCCCTGCCTGCACTCGGTGTGCGGGCCGTGCCTCGGAGGGGACGGAGCGGGTGAGGGGGGCACTTTGTGTGTGTGGGGAGGGGGCTCTGGGGGTATAAAAGGGGCGCTGCTGGGGTGGGTGGGATCACCAGGAGCTCAGGGTGACCCCTCTGTGTGCCCGCAGTGTTCGAGTGCCCCGTGTGCCACCATCAGTGTCCCCTGGGCGACATCCTGGACAACTTTTTCCTGCAGGACAGCGGGGCCGGAGCCGCCTCAGGGCCTGAGCCCTTTCAGGTAGAGCCTCGTTAGTGGTTAATTAGCGCTAATTAAGGGGAAAGGAGTGTTGGTGGCCCAGCCCGTCCCTTGTCCGCAGAGCTGCACCAGCTGCGAGGACAACGCGGCGGCCACGAGGTTCTGCAGCGACTGCTGCGAGCCCCTGTGCGACACCTGCGTGCAGGCTCACCTGAGGGTCAGGTACACCCGCGGCCACTCCGTCAGGGACATCGGTGAGCTGCTGGCACCTTCCCCACCCTCCCCGTCCCGTCCTGCCTCTGCTCTGCGTGACGCCCGTCCCAGGGGATCGCTCCCGTTCCCGGTGCTGTCCTGGTGCCATTCCCATTCCTGGTGCCATTGCTGTTCCCACTGCTGTCCTGGTGCCATTCCCGTTCCCACTGCTGTCCTGGTACCATTCCCAGTGCCATTCCCGGTGCCGTTCCCAGTGCCACTCCCGTTCCCAGTGATATCCTGGTGCCATTCCCACTCCCGTTCCCGGTGCTATCCTGGTGCCATTCCCAGTGCCATTCCTGTTCCCATTGCTGTCCTGGTGCCATTCCCGGTGCCATTCCTGGTGCCATTCCCATTCCCACTGCTGTCCTGGTGCCATTCCTGTTCCCGGTGCTGTCCTGGTGCCATTCCCATTCCTGGTGCCACTCCTGTTCCCGGTGCCATTCCTGGTGCCATTCCCACTCCCACTGCTATCCTCGTGCCATTCCCATTTCCAGTGTTTTCCTGGTGCCATTGACAGTGCCATTCCCACTCCTGTTCCCACTGCTGTCCTGGTGCCATTCCCGTTCCCACTGCTGTCCTGGTGCCATTCCCAGTGCCATTCCCACTCCTGTTCCCACTGCTGTCCTGGTGCCATTCCCGGTGCCATTCCCACTCCCATTCCCACTGCTGTCCTGGTGCCATTCCTGTTCCCGGTGCTATCCCGGTGCCATTCCCATTCCTGGTGCCACTCCTGTTCCCGGTGCCATTCCTGGTGCCAGTCCCGTTCCCGATGCTGTCCTGGTGCCATTCCCATTCCCAGTGCTATCCTGGTGCCATTCCTGTTCCTGGTGCTATCCTGGTGCCATTCCCATTCTTGGTGCTATCCTGGTGCCATTCCTGTTCCTGGTGCTATCCCGGTGCCATTCCCATTCCTGGTGCTATCCTGGTGCCACTCCCATTCCCAATGCTATCCTTGTGCCATTCCCAGTGCTATCCTGGTGTCATTCCCACTCCCATTCCCACTGCTGTCCTGGTGCCATTCCTGTTCCCGGTGCTATCCCGGTGCCATTGCTACTCCCATTCCAGGTGCCATTCCTGGTGCCATTCCTGGTGCCATTCCCAGTGCCATTCCCATTCCCGGTGCTATCCTGGTGCCATTCCCAGTGCCATTTCCATTCCCAGTGCTATCCTGGTGCCACTCCCGTTCCCGGTGCTATCCTTGTGCCATTCCCACTCCCGTTCCCACTGCTATCCTGGTACCATTCACAGTGCCATTCCTGGTGCTATCCTCATGCCATTCCTGGTGCCATTCCCACTCCCGTTCCCACTGCTGTCCTGGTGCCACTCCTGTTCCTGGTGCTATCCTCATGCCGTTCATGGTGCCATTCCCATTCCCATTCCCGGTGCTATCCTGGTGCCATTCCCGTTCCCGGTGCTGTCCTGGTGCCATTCATGGTGCCATTCCCACTCCCATTCCTGGTGCCATTCCCGGTGCCATTCCCACTCCCGTTCCCACTGCTGTCCTGGTGCCATTCCTGTTCCCACTGCTGTCCTGGTGCCGTTCCCGGTGCTATCCTGGTGCCGTTCCTGGTGCCGTTCCTGGTGCCATTCCCACTCCTGTTCCCACTGCTGTCCTGGTGCCATTCACGATGCCATTCCCACTCCCATTCATGGTGCTGTCCTGGTGCCATTCCCGTTCCCACTGCTGTCCTGGTGTCGTTCCCACTGCTGTCCTGGTGCCATTCCTGTTCCCAGTGCTGTCCTGGTGCCATTCCCACTGCTATCCTGGTGCCACTCCTGTTCCCAGTGCTATCCTGGTGCCGTTCCCAGTACCATTCCCACTCCCGTTCCCACTGCTGTCCTGGTTCCATTCACGGTGGTCCATCCCCATCCATCCCAGTCCATCCCCATCCATCCCAGTCCTGTCCCAGTCCATCCCCATCCATCCCAGTCCATCCCAGTCGGTTCCCGCAGGCTCAGTTCTATCTTAGCTCCATCCCAGTCCTATCCCAGTCCATCCCAGTCCTATCCCAGTCCATCCCCACCCATCCCAGTCCATCCCAGTCCATCCCCATCCTATCCCAGTCCTACCTCAGTCCATCCCCATCCATCCCAGTCCTATCCCAGTCCATCCCCATCCCATCCCAGTCCTATCCCCATCCATCCCAGTCCATCCCCATCCATCCCAGTCCTATCTCAGCTCCATCCCAGTCCATCCCAGTCCATCCCAGTCCTATCCCAGTCCATCCCCATCCATCCCAGTCCTATCCCAGTCCATCCCAGTCCATCCCAGTCCTATCCCAGTCCATCTCTGTCCTATCCCAGTCCTATCTCAGTCCTGTCCCAGTCTATCCCAGTCCATCCCAGTCCTATCCCAGTCCATTCCCACAGGCTCAGTCCTATCTCAGCTCCATCCCAGCTCCATCCCAGTCCATCCCAGTCCATCCCAGTCCATCCCAGTCGTATCCCAGTCCATCCCAGTCCATCCCAGTCGGTTCCCACAGGCTCAGTTCTATCTTAGCTCCATCCCAGTCCGTTCCCATCCATCCCAGTCCATCCCAGTCCTGTCCCAGTCCATCCCAGTCCCGTCCCAGTCCTGTCCCAGTCCTATCCCAGTCCATCCCAGTCCGTCCCCATCCATCCCAGTCCATCCCAGTGGGTTCCCGCAGGCTCAGTTCTATCTTAGCTCCATCCCAGTCCTATCCCAGTCCATCCCAGTCCTATCCCAGTCCATCCCCATCCATCCCAGTCCATCCCCATCCATCCCAGTCCTGTCCCAGTCCATCCCCATCCATCCCAGTCCCGTCCCAGTCCATCCCAGTGGGTTCCCGCAGGCTCAGTTCTATCTTAGCTCCATCCCAGTCCCGTCCCAGTCCTATCCCAGTCCTATCCCAGTCCATCCCAGTCCATCCCAGTCCATCCCAGTCCATCCCAGTCCCGTCCCAGTCCATCCCAGTCCATCCCCATCCATCCCAGTCCATCCCAGTCGGTTCCCACAGGCTCAGTTCTATCTTAGCTCCATCCCAGTCCCGTCCCAGTCCATCCCAGTCCTATTTTAGTCCATCCCAGTCCATCCCAGTCCCGTCCCAGTCCATCCCAGTCCATCCCAGTCCGTTCCCGCAGGCTCAGTTCTATCTTAGCTCCATCCCAGTCCATCCCAGTCCTATCCCAGTCCCATCCCAGTCCCGTCGCAGTCCATCCCAGTCCGTCCCAGTCCATCCCAGTCCTATCCCCAATCCATCCCCACCCATCCCAGTCCGTCCCAGTCCATCCCAGTCCATCCCAGTCCATCCCCATCCATCCCAGTCCTATCCCAGTCCATCCCAGTCCATCCCAGTCCTATCCCAGTCCATCCCAGTCCTATCCCAGTCCTATCCCAGTCCTATCCCCATCCATCCCAGTCCATCCCAGTCCATCCCAGTCCCGTCCCAGTCCCTCCCAGTCCCGTCCCAGTCCATCCCAGTCCTATCCCAGTCCATCCCAGTCCATCCCAGTCCATCCCCATCCATCCCAGTCCCGTCCCAGTCCCTCCCAGTCCATCCCAGTCCAGTCGCCTAGGCTTAGCCCGCCCTAGTCCCGCTCCTGTCCCGCTCCGTCTCTGGGGCCGTGCCCGGAGCACCCCGAGGAGCCCCGGGATCACTTCTGCTCCACCTGTGCCACCCTCATGTGCCGCCTGTGCCAGCTCAGCGCCCACCAGGGCCACCGGTGAGTTCGTTAGCGCTCATTTGCATATTAATTAAGCACGTTAATTAGCGTGGGGAGCCATCGTCCCGCTCCTCAGCCCGGGATAAACGGGGATCGGGGGCAAAGAGGGGCTGCAAATTGGAGTTATTGGACTAAAAGTGCACCTGGAAGGGGGATTAATTAATTAGTTACGTTAATTATTTGGTGAAGAAGAGCTAGAAAAAGTTTGCAGGTTGATTATTGTCATTAATTGAATTTTAGTTTAGTAAGCACAGCTCGTTAGTGGGGCAGGTAACGAACGCTTGTTGAGCTGATGAGAAACTTAACCAGGTTTTTGGTTTTGTTTCTTTTTTCTCTCATTTTTTCTCTTCCTTCTCCTGTTTTTATTTTTCTTTTTTATTTTATGCTTACACCTTTTTACAATTTTCCCCTTTTTTCCTCCTCCTTTTTTTCTCCCCCCCTTTTCTCCCCCTTTTCCTTCTCCCCTTTCTTCCTGCTTTTCCTCCCTTTTCCCCCTTTTTCCCACCTTTTCCCCCTTTTCCCCCTTTTCTTCCCCCTTTTTCCCCCTTTTCCCCCTTTTTCCCCCTTTTCCCTTGTACCCCACTTTTCCCCCTTTTCCCCTTTTCCCCCTTTTTCCCCCTTTTCCCCCTTTTTCCCCCTTTTCCCCTTCTTTTCCCATCCTTCTTTTCTCCCCTTCTTTTCCTCCTTCTTTCCTCCTTCTTTTCCCCCTTTTCCTCCTTTTTCCTCCTTTTCTCCCCTTTTACCTCCTTTTCCTTTCCTTTTCTCTTTCCGTTTTCTCTTTTCCCCCTTTTTCTCTCTCCACCTTTTTCCTCCCTTTTCCCACTTTTCCCCCTTTTTCCTCCCATTTTTCCTTTCCCCTTTTCCTTTTCCCATTTCTCCCCTTTTCCCCCCTTTTCCCCTGCCCTTTTTCCCCCTTCCCCCTTTTCCCCCTTTTTTCCCATCTTTTCCCTTTCTTCCCCCTTTTCCCCCTTTACTTCCTTCCCCCTTTTCCCCTTTTCCCTATTTCTCCTTTTTCCCCCTTTCTCTCCCTTTTCCCTGTCCTGTCATTCCCCCGTTTCCCTCCTTTTTTTCCCCCTTTTCTCCTCCTTTTTCCCCCTTTTTCATTTCCCCCTTTTCCCCTTTTCCCCATTTATCCCTTTTTTTCCCCCCTTCCTCTCCCTTTTCCCTGTCATTCCCCCCCATTTCCCTGCCGATTCCTGTTCTCATTCCCAGTTCCCGGAGCGTTCCCGAGGCGGTCCCGACGGAGCAGGCTCTGCTGCTGGATCTGTCCCGGTGCTTGGGCACCAAACTCTCGCTGCTGCAGCGCTGCCAGCGCCACCTGCGAGGCCTGTGCGTGTCCCCTGTGTCCCCTGTGTCCCCTCCTGTCCCCTGTGTCCCCTCCTGTCCCCAATGTCCCCTCCCTGTCCCTGTGTCCCCTCCCTGTGTCCCCTCCCTGTCCCCTCCTTGTCCCCTCCCTGTCCCCTCCCGTGTCCCTGTCCCTGTCCTCCTGTGTCCCCTCCTGTGTCCTCCTGTCCTCCTGTGTCCCTCCTGTCCCTCCCCTGTCCCTCCCTGTCCCTCCTGTCCCTTCCCTGTCCCTCCTGTGTCCCCTCCTGTCCCCTCCTGTCCCTCCTGTGTCCCTCCTGTCCCCTCCCTGTCCCTCCTGTGTCCTCCTGTCCCTCCTGTCCCTCCCTGTCCTCCTGTCCCTCCCTGTCCCTCCTGTGTCCCTCCTGTCCCTCCTGTGTCCTCCTGTGTCCCCTCCTGTCCCTCCTGTCCTCCCTGTCCCCTCCTTGGCCCCTGTGTCCCCATTCCCGTTATTCCCATTGTTACCAGGCAGCTCCAGGGGCTGTCCCCAGCATTCCCAGCTCCAGGGGCTGTCCCCAGCATTCCCAGCATTCCCAGTATTCCAGTTGTTCCCAGGCAGCTCCAGGGGCTGTCCCCAGCATCCCCGTTATTCCCGTTGTTCCCAGGCAGCTCCAGGGGCTGTCTCCCCCTCCCCATCATCCCCAGCATTCCCGTTATTCCCGTTGTTCCCAGGCAGCTCCAGGGGCTGTCCCCAGCATTCCCAGCATTCCCAGCATTCCCAGCATTCCCAGCATTCCCATCATTCCCGTTATTCCCGTTATTCCCGCTGTCCCAGGCAGCTCCAGGGGCTGTCTCCCCCTCCCCAGCATCCCCAGCATTCCCAGCATTCCCAGCATCCCCAGCATTCCCGTTATTCCCGTTGTTCCCAGGCAGCTCCGGGGGGTGTCCCCATCATCCCCAGCATTCCCAGCATTCCCAGCATTCCCAGCATTCCCGTTATTCCCGTTGTTCCCAGGCAGCTCCAGGGGCTGTCCCCAGCATTCCCAGCATTCCCAGCATTCCCAGCATTCCCGCATTCCCGTATTCCCAGTCAGTTCCCAGGCAGCTCCAGGGGCTGTCCCCAGCATTCCCAGCATTCCCATTATTCCCGTTGTTCCCAGGCAGCTCCAGGGGCTGTCTCCCAGCATTCCCAGCATTCCCAGTATTCCCGTTGTTCCCAGGCAGCTCCAGAGGGTGTCCCCAGCATTCCCAGCATCCCCAGCATTCCCAGCATTCCCAGCATTCCCGTTATTCCAGTTGTTCCCAGGCACTCCAGGGGCTGTCCCCAGCATTCCCAGTATTCCCATTGTTCCCAGGCACTCCAGGGGCTGTCCCCCATTCCCAGCATTCCCATTATTCCCGTTGTTCCCAGGCAGCTCCAGGGGGTGTCCCCAGCATTCCCAGCTCCAGGGGCTGTCCCCAGCATTCCCAGTCTGTTCCCAGGCACTCAGGGCTGTCCCCAGCATTCCCAGCATTCCCAGTTGTTCCCAGGCAGCTCCAGGGGCTGTCTCCAGCTCCCAGCATTCCCAGCATTCCCAGCATTCCCGTATTCCCGTTGTTCCCAGGCACTCCAGGGGCTGTCCCCAGCATTCCCAGCATTCCCAGCATTCCCATTATTCCCGTATTCCCATTGTTCCCAGGCAGTTCCAGGGGCTGTCCCCAGCATTCCCAGCTCCAGGGGCTGTCCCCAGCATCCCCAGCATTCCCATCATTCCTGTTGTTCCCAGGCACTCCAGGGCAGCTGTCCCCAGCATTCCCAGCATTCCCAGCATTCCCAGTGTTCCCAGGCAGCCAGGGCTGTCCCCAGCATTCCCAGCATTCCCGTTGTTCCCAGGCAGCTCCAGGGGCTGTCCCCAGCATCCCCAGCATTCCCAGCATTCCCAGCATTCCCATTATTCCCATTGTTCCCAGGCAGCTCCAGGGAGTGTCCCCAGCATTCCCAGCATTCCCAGCATTCCCAGTTCCCATTCCCGTTATTCCCAGCAGTTCCAGGCAGCTCCAGGGGCTGTCCCCAGCATTCCCAGCATCCCCAGCATTCCCGTTGTTCCCAGGCAGCTCCAGGGGCTGTCCCCGGCATTCCCAGCATTCCCAGCATTCCCAGCATTCCCAGCATTCCCAGCATTCCCATTATTCCCATTGTTCCCAGGCAGCTCCAGAGGGTGTCCCCAGCATTCCCAGCATTCCCAGCATTCCCAGCATTCCCGTTATTCCCGTTGTTCCCAAGCAGTTCCAGGGGCTGTCCCCAGCATTCCCCAGCATTCCCAGCATCCCCATCATTCCCGTTATTCCCGTTGTTCCCAGGCAGTTCCAGGGGCTGTCTCCCCCTCCCCAGCATTCCCAGCATTCCCAGCATTCCCAGCATTCCCAGCATTCCCAGCATCCCCAGCATTCCCATCATTCCCATTATTCCCGTTGTTCCCAGGCAGCTCCGGGGGGTGTCCCCAGCATTCCCAGCATTCCCAGCATTCCCATTATTCCCGTTGTTCCCAGGCACTCCAGGGAGTGTCCCCAGCATCCCCAGCATCCCCAGCATCCCCAGCATTCCCAGCATTCCCAGCATTCCCGGTATTCCCGTTGTCCCAGGCACTCTGGGGGCTGTCCCCAGCATCCCCAGCATTCCCAGCATTCCCATTATTCCCATTGTTCCCAGGCAGCTCCGGGGGGTGTCCCCAGCATTCCCAGCATTCCCAGCATCCCCAGCATTCCCAGCATTCCCAGCATTCCCAGCATCCCCATCATCCCCATCATTCCCGTTATTCCAGTTGTTCCCAGGCAGCTCCAGGGGCTGTCTCCCCCTCCCCAGCATTCCCAGCATTCCCATCATTCCCGTTATTCCCGCTGTCCCAGGCAGCGGCGCGGCTCGGAGGCGCAGCAGCGGCTGCAGGTGGAGGTGAAGATGGCCATCCTGCAGGTCATGAGGGAGCTCAACAAGCGCGGCAAGGTCCTGCTCGGGGAGGCACAGGTCAGGTGGCACTGCTGTCCCCTCCTGTCCCCTTCCCTGTCCTGTCCCCTCCTGTCCCTTCTCTGTCCCCTCCTGTCCCCTCCTGTCCCCAATGTCCCCTTCTGTCCCCTCCTGTCCCCAATGTCCCTCCTGTCCCTCCTGTCCCCTCCTGTCCCAATGTCCCCACTGTCCCCTCCTGTCCCCTCCTGTCCCCTCCCATGTCCCCTCCCTGTCCCTCTGTGTCCCCTCCTGTCCCTCCTGTCCCCTCCCCTGTCCCCTCCTGTCCCCTCCCTGTCCCCTCCCTGTCCCCTCTGTCCCCTTCTGTCCCCTCCTGTCCCCAATGTCCCCTCCTGTCCCCTCCTGTCCCCTCCTGTCCCTCCTGTCCCTCCATGTCCCTCCTGTCCCCTCCATGTCCCCTCCTGTCCCCTCCCTGTCCCCTCCTGTCCCCTCCATGTCCCCAATGTCCCCTCCTGTCCCCAATGTCCCCTCCATGTCCCCTCCTGTCCCCTCCTGTCCCCTCCTGTCCCCTCCCTGTCCCTCCATGTCCCCTCCTGTCCCCTCCTGTCCCCTCCTGTCCCTCCTCTGTCCCCCTGTCCTGTCCCCTCCTGTCCCCTCCTGTCCCTCCCTGTCCCCTCCTGTCCCTCCCTGTCCCTCCTGTCCCTCCTGTCCCCTCCTGTCCTCCTGTCCCCCTCCTGTCCCCTCCCTGTCCCCTCCTGTCCCCTCCATGTCCCCATCCTGTCCCCTCCTGTCCCACCATGTCCCCCGCTGTCCCTGTCCCCTCCTGTCCCCTGATGTCCCCAAAGCTACCCCGATGTCCTCGTCCATGTCCTGTGCTCTCCAAGCCCTGCCAGTGTCCCCTGCTGTCCCCTGCCCTGCTGCCCTCCATGTCCCCAATGTCCGCCTCCATGACCCCCAATGACCCACCTGCTGTCCCCAATGTCCCTCCATGTACCCCAATGTCCCTGCTCCTGTCCCCAGAGTCCCATCCCCCGATGTCCTCCTGCGTGTCCCCCATGTCCCTCAGTGTTCCCTCCATGTCCCCTGCTGCTCCCCGATGATCCTCAGTGACCCTCCATGACCCCCCAATGATCCCCTCCATGTCCCTTCCATGTCACCCAATGTCCCCAATGACCCCTGCTGTCCTCAATGTCCCATCCTTGTCCCCTCCTGTACCCCAGTGTCCTCTCCAGTCCCCCAATGCCCCCCCAGACCGGTGACCGAGGCGTGGCACCCGGAGCTGAACCGGCAGCCGCAGGGCGCTGCGGAGCCTGCTCGAAGCACCACCTGAACCCCCGTCACGGCCATCCGTGAGTCCAGGCCAGGGTGTCCCTGCTCGTCACTCCCATCCTGCTGCTCTCCTACAACCTGGTGAGGCTGAGACCCCAAAACCCACCCACAGACCCCTGAACCTCAAATCCATCCCTCGAGTCCCCTGAACCCCCTCAAATCCATCCCTCGAGTCCCCAGGGTGTCCCTGCCTCGTCACCCCCATCCCTGCTGCTCTCCTACAACCTGGTGAGGCTCAGACCCCCAAAACCCACCTACAGACCCCCTGAACCCCCTCAAATCCATCCCTGGAGTCCCCCTGAACCCCCTCAAATCCATCCCTGGAGTCCCCAGGGTGTCCCTGCCTCGTCACCCCATCCCTGCTGATCTCTCCTGGTGAGGCTCAGACCCCACCACAGACCCCCTGAACCCCTCAAATCCATCCTCGAGTCCCCTGAACCCCTCAAATCCATCCCAGGACCCCTGAACCCCTCAAATCCATCCTCTGAGTCCCCAGGGTGTCCCTGCCTCGTCACTCCCATCCCTGCTGCTCTCTACAACCTGGTGAGGCTGAGACCCCCAAAGCTCCCCAGACCCCTGAATCCCTCAAATCCACCTCCAGGACCCCTGAACCCCTCAATCCATCCCCTGAGTCCCCAGGGTGTCCCTGCCTCGTCATCCCCATCCCTGTGACCTTGTGTGTGTCCTGCCACATCCCTGCTGCTCTCCTACAACCTGGTGAGGCTGAGACCCCAAAATCCACCTACAGACCCCTGAACCCCCTCAAACCCACTCCCTTGTCCCCAGGGTGTCCCTGCCTCGTCACCCCCATCCCTGCTGCTCTCCTACAACCTGGTGAGGCTCAGACCCCCAAAACCCACCTACAGACCCCCTGAAACCCCTCAAATCCATCCATGGAGTCCCCTGAACCCCTCAAATCCATCCCCAGGACCCCCTGAACCCCCTCAAATCCATCCCCCCCCGTCCCCAGGGTGTCCCTGCCTCGTCACCCCCATCCCTGTGACCTTTGTGTGTGTCCTTTGTCACATCCCTGCTGCTCTCCTACAACCTGGTGAGGCTGAGACCCCCAAACCCACCCCCCAGACCCCTGAACCCCCCAAAGCCCACCCCCAGACCCCTGAACCCCCAAACCCACCTACAGACCCCTGAACCCCCAAATCCACCTCCAGGACCCCCTGAAACCCCTCAAATCCATCCTTCGAGTCCCCAGGGTGTCCCTGCTCTCGTCACCCCCATCCCTGCTGCTCTCCTACAACCTGGTGAGGTTGAGACCCCCAAAACCCATCCAGGACCCCTGAACCCCTCAAATCCAGCCCTGGAGTCCCCTGAACCCCCTCAATCCATCCCTGGATTCCCAGGGTGTCCCTGACTCGTCACCCCCATCCCTGCTGCCTCCTACAACCTGGTGAGGCTCAGACCCCAAAGCCCACCTACAGACCCCTGAACCCCCTCAATCCACCCTCAGGACCCCTGAACCCCCTCAAATCCATCCCCTGTCCCCAGGGTGTCCCTGCCTCGTCACCCCCATCCCTGTGACCTTTGTGTGTCCTGCCACATCCCTGCTGCTCCTACAACCTGGTGAGGCTGAGACCCCTCAAATCCATCCCCAGGACCCTGAACCCCTCAAATCCATCCCTGGAGTCCCCAGGGTGTCCCTGCCTCGTCACCCCCATCCCTGCTGCTCTCCTACAACCTGGTGAGGCTGAGACCCCCAAACCCACCCCCAGACCCCTGAACCCCTCAAATCCAGCCCTGGATCCCCTGAACCCCTGAAATCCATCCCTGGAGTCCCCAGGTGTCCCTGCCTCGTCACCCCCATCCCTGTGACCTTTGTGTGTGTCTCTGTCACATCCTTGCTGCTCTCCTACAACCTGGTGAGGCTGAGACCCCCAAAGTCCACCTACAGACCCCCTGAACCCCCTCAAATCCATCCCTCGAGTCCCCCTGAACCCCTCAAATCCATCCCTGGAGTCCCCAGGGTGTCCCTGCCTCGTCACCCCCATCCCTGCTGCTCTCCTACAACCTGGTGAGGCTGAGACCCCCCCAAAATCCACCTACAGACCCCCTGAAACCCCTCAAATCCATCCCTGGAGTCCCCCTGAACCCCCTCAAATCCATCCCTGGATTCCCCAGGGTGTCCCTGCCTCGTCACCCCCATCCCTGCTGCTCTCCTACAACCTGGTGAGGCTGAGACCCTCAAAGCCGCCCCCAGACCCCTGAACCCCTCAAATCCATCCCCAGGACCCCTGAACCCCCTCAAATCCATCCCTCGAGTCCCCAGGGTGTCCCTGCCTCGTCACCCCCATCCCTGCTGCTCTCCTACAACCTGGTGAGGCTGAGACCCCCAAAACCCCGTCCAGGACCACCCCCCCGAGCCTCAAACCTGCCCCCAGGACCCCTGAACCCCCTCAAATCCATCCCTGGAGTCCCCCTGAACCCCTCAAATCCATCCCTGGAGTCCCCAGGGTGTCCCTGCCTCGTCACCCACATCCCTGCTGATCTCCTACAACCTGGTGAGGCTGAGACCCCCAAAACCCCATCCAGGACCCCCTGAAACCCCTCAAATCCATCCCCAGGACCCCCTGAACCCCCTCAAATCCATCCCCAGGACCCCCTGAACCCCCTCAAATCCATCCCTGGAGTCCCCAGGGTGTCCCTGCCTCGTCACCCCCATCCCTGCTGCTCTCCTACAACCTGGTGAGGCTGAGACCCCCAAAACCCACCTACAGACCCCCTGAACCCCCTCAAATCCATCCCCAGGACCCCTGAACCCCTCAAATCCATCCCTCGAGTCCCCTGAACCCCTCAAATCCATCCCTGAGTCCCCTGAACCCCTCAAATCCATCCCTGGAGTCCCCCTGAACCCCCTCAAATCCATCCCCAGGACCCCCTGAACCCCCTCAAATCCATCCCTGGAGTCCCCCTGAACCCCCTCAAATCCATCCCTCCCTGTCCCCAGGGTGTCCCTGCCTCGTCACCCCCATCCCTGCTGCTCTCCTACAACCTGGTGAGGCTGAGACCCCCAAAACCCACCTACAGACCCCCTGAAACCCCTCAAATCCACCCCTCGAGTCCCCCTGAACCCCTCAACCATCCCTGAGTCCCCTGAACCCCCTCAAATCCATCCCCAGGACCCCCTGAACCCCTCAAATCCATCCCCTCGTCCCCAGGGTGTCCCTGCCTCGTCACCCCCATCCCTGTGACCTTTGTGTGTGTCCTTTGTCACATCCCTGCTGCTCTCCTACAACCTGGTGAGGCTGAGACCCCCAAAACCCACCTACAGACCCCTGAACCCCTCAAATCCATCCCTGGAGTCCCCAGGGTGTCCCTGCCTCGTCACCCCCATCCCTGCTGCTCTCCTACAACCTGGTGAGGCTGAGACCCCCAAAACCCACCTACAGACCCCCTGAGACCCCCCAAACCCACCTACAGACCCCTGAACCCCTCAAATCCATCCCTCGAGTCCCCTGAACCCCTCAAATCCATCCCTGGAGTCCCCAGGGTGTCCCTGCCTCGTCACCCCCATCCCTGCTGCTCTCCTACAACCTGGTGAGGCTGAGACCCCCGAAATCTACCTACAGACCCCCTGAACCCCCTCAAATCCACCTCCAGGACCCCCTGAACCCCCTCAAATCCATCCCTGGAGTCCCCAGGGTGTCCCTGCCTCGTCACCCCCATCCCTGCTGCTCTCCTACAACCTGGTGAGGCTGAGACCCCCAAAATCCACCTACAGACCCCCTGAACCCCCTCAAATCCATCCCCCCCTGTCCCCAGGGTGTCCCTGCCTCGTCACCCCCATCCCTGCTGCTCTCCTACAACCTGGTGAGGCTGAGACCCCCAAACCCCATCCAGGACCCCTGAACCCCTCAAATCCACCCCAGGACCCCTGAACCCCCTCAAATCCATCCCTTGAGTCCCCTGAACCCCTCAAATCCACCCCTCGAGTCCCCTGAACCCCCTCAAATCCATCCCTCGAGTCCCCTGAAACCCTCAAATCCATCCCTGAGTCCCCTGAACCCCTCAATCCATCCCTGAGTCCCCAGGTGTCCCTGCCTCGTCACCATCCCTGTGACCTTTGTGTGTCCTGCCACATCCCTGCTGCTCTCCTACAACCTGGTGAGGCTCAGACCCCAAAACCCTGTCCAGGACCCCCTGAACCCCTCAAATCCATCCCTGAAGTCCCCTGAACCCCTCAAATCCATCCTCGAGTCCCCCTGAACCCCCTCAAATCCACCCCCGAACTCCCTCAAAGCTGCCCCCAGACCCCTGAACCCCTCAAATCCATCCTCGAGTCCCCTGAACACCTCAAACCCCTCCCAGGGTCCCCTGAGCCTCAAAGCCACTCCCAGGACCCCTGAACCCCTCAAATCCATCCCTGAGTCCCCCTGAACCCCTCAATCCACCCCCGTCCCCAGGGTGTCCCTGCCTCATCACCCCCATCCCTGCTGCTCTCCTACAACCTGGTGAGGCTGAGACCCCCAAAACCCACCTACAGACCCCTGAACCCCTCAAATCCATCCCTGAGTCCCCCTGAACCCCTCAAATCCATCCCTGAGTCCCCAGGGTGTCCCTGCCTCGTCACCCCCATCCCTGCTGCTCTCCTACAACCTGGTGAGGCTGAGACCCCCAAAACCCCATCCAGGACCCCTGAACCCCCTCAAATCCATCCCTCGAGTCCCCTGAACCCCTCAAATCCAGCCCTCGAGTCCCTCTGAACCCCTCAATCCACCCCCTGTCCCCAGGGTGTCCCTGCCTCATCACCCCCATCCCTGCTGCTCTCCTACAACCTGGTGAGGCTGAGACCCCCAAAACCCCATCCAGGACCACCTGAACCCCCTCAAATCCATCCCCAGGACCCCCTGAACCCCCTCAAATCCATCCCCCTGAGTCCCCAGGGTGTCCCTGCCTCATCACCCCCATCCCTGCTGCTCTCCTACAACCTGGTGAGGCTGAGACCCCCAAACCCATCCTACAGACCCCCTGAAACCCCTCAAATCCACCTCCAGGACCCCCTGAACCCCCTCAAATCCATCCCTGGAGTCCCCCTGAACCCCCTCAAATCCACCCCTCGAGTCCCCAGGGTGTCCCTGCCTCGTCACCCCCATCCCTGCTGCTCTCCTACAACCTGGTGAGGCTGAGACCCCCAAAACCCCATCCAGGACCCCCTGAACCCCCTCAAATCCATCCCTGGAGTCCCCAGGGTGTCCCTGCCTCGTCACCCCCATCCCTGCTGCTCTCCTACAACCTGGTGAGGCTCAGACCCCCAAACCTGCATCCAGGACCCCCTGAACCCCCTCAAATCCACCTCCAGGACCCCCTGAACCCCCTCAAATCCATCCCTCGAGTCCCCAGAGTGTCCCTGCCTCATCACCCCATCCCTGCTGCTCTCCTACAACCTGGTGAGGCTGAGACCCCAAAACCACCTACAGACCCCCTGAGACCCCCTAAACCCACTCTACAGACCCCCTGAACCCCTCAAATCCATCCCCTGAGTCCCCTGAACCCCTCAAAGCCACTCCCAGGACCCCCTGAACCCCTCAAATCCATTCCTGGAGTCCCCAGGGTGTCCCTGCCTCGTCACCCCCATCCCTGCTGCTCTCCTACAACCTGGTGAGGCTGAGACCCCAAACTCCCATCCAGGACCCCTGAACCCCCTCAAATCCATCCTCAGGACCCCTGAACCCCTCAAATCCATCCCTGGAGTCCCCCTGAACCCCCTCAAATCCATCCCTGGAGTCCCCAGGGTGTCCCTGCCTCGTCACCCCCATCCCTGTGACCTTTGTGTGACCTTTGTGTGTGTCCTTTGTCCCCCCCTCCCCTCCAGATCCACTCCCAGATCCAGCGCAGCCTCCTGGTCCCCGTGGAGCCCGAGGAGCGGCTGTGGGAGCTGAAATTCCAGTGGGACCTCCCCGCCTGGACCAGGAGCGCCGAGAACTTCGGTGGGGGTTGGAATAGGAAGGGTTAAAATTCAAAATATTTTTATTGTAAACCCATAAAAACCCCCCTTACCTCCATATTTTGTAATTTTTTTATCTGCCTTTTTTTTTGGGTATCAGGTTGAGGGGGGGACAGGAGGGGTTTGGGGGAGGTGATGAGGGACCTGGGGGTCAAGGGGTTTTTGGTCCCACCCCCCCAGTGATGTCCTCCTCCCTCCCCCACAGGCACCATCATCTCGGAGTGGCCCCTCCCCTGCTTCTGGGAGCCCCCCAGCCATGAGACACCGAGACCCCCAAACACACAGGTATTTAGTGGGGGGTCTTAGGGGTTTCTGCTTCCTCCCTCAAATAACCTCCCATCCCCCAAACGGGCAGGTGACCCCGGGCTTGCCCGCAGCCCCCAAACGGGCTGGGGGCCAAGCCCAGGAGACCCCTGGGGTCCCCCTGATGCGGGGGCTTGGGCCCCCCTCCTGCCTCAGTTTCCCCGCGTCGAGGGCTTGAGTGTCCTGAGCTGTCCCCCCCATCTGGAGCGACAGCGGAGACCCCGAGCTGGGTGAGGATATTGGGGGTTTGGGGTTTGGGGGACAGGGGGTTTGGGGGACAGAGGGGTTTGGGGGGGACAGGGGGTGTTTGGGGGACAGGGGTTTGGGGGGACAGGGGGTTTGAGGCACAGGGGTGTTTGGGGGCACAGGGGGATATGGGGACATGGGGGGACATATGGGAGGCACAGGGGGATATGGGGGCACAGGGGATATGGGGCACAGAGATATGGAGGGACAGGGGGTTTGGGGGACAGGAGGATGTGAGGGGGATATGGGGACATGAAGGCACAGGGGACATGGGGGCACAGGGTTATGGGGGGACAGAGGGATGTGGGGCATAGGAGATATGGGGGCACGGGGGATATGGGGGCACAGAGGACATGGGGGATATGGCACATGGGGATATGAGGGGCACAGGGGATATGGGATATGGGGGCACAGGGGATATGGGGGCACAGGGGACATGGGGCACAGGGGATATTGGGGCACAGGAGGATTTGGGGGATATAGGGGCACAGGGGATGTGAGGGGACAGGGGATATGGGGGCACAGGGGGATATGGATAGGATAAAGGAGATAGGGGCACAGGGGGCACATAGGGATATGGGGACAGGGGGATATGGAGGCACAGGGGATATGGGGGCACAGGGACATGGGGGCACATAGGGGGACATGGGGGCACAGGGGGATATGGGGAGCACAGGGGGACATGGGGATAGGGGACATGGACAGGGGGACATGGGGGCACAGGGGACATGGGGGCACAGGGGACATGGGGGCACAGGGATGGGGGCACAGGGGATATGGAGGCACGGGGACATGGGGATATGGGGGCACAGGGGACATGGGGGCATGGATATGGGGCAGGGGGTTATGGGGAGCACAGGGGACATGGGGGCACAGGGGACATGGGGGCACAGGGGATATGGGGGACAGGGGATGTTATGGGGGCACAGGGGACATGGGGGGCACAGGGGACATGGGGGGCACAGGGGATATGGTGAGGGGACATGGGGACAGAGGGGATGGGGCACAGGGGATATGGGGGGCACAGGGGATATGGGGGCACAGGGGGGACATGGGGATATGGGGGCACAGGGGACATGGGGGCACAGGGGATATGGGGCACAGGGAGATATGGGGCACAGGGGACGTGGGGGCACAGGGGATGGGGCACAGGGGGATATGGGGGCACAGGGGACATGGGAGGCACAGGGAGATATGGGGGCACAGGGGATATGGGGGCACAGGGGACATGGGGGCACAGGGGGACATGGGGCACACAGGGGATGAATGGGGATATGGGGGCACAGGGGGACATGGGGGCACAGGGGACATGGGGACATGGGGCACAGGGATATGGGGGACATGGGGCACAGGGGATATGGGGGCACAGGGTGTTTAGGGGCACAGGGGGACATGGGGAAGCACAGGGGATATGGGGCACATAGGACATGGGGCACAGAGGGATATGGGGGTACAGGGGGATATGGGGGCACAGGGGGCACATGGGGACATGGGGCACAGGGAGATGGGGGACAGGGGGACATGGGGACAGGGAGATATGGGGCACAATGGGACATGGGGGGATATGGAGGGCATAGGGGACATGGGGATACGGGGGATGTGAGGCACAGGGGATATGGGGCACAGGGGGATGTGGGGAGGGTCAGGAAGCGGGGTGACACCGAGGGTCTCAGGGAGGGGGCACATGGGGAGAAAGGGAGGGGAGGGGGATGTGGAGGTTCAGGAAGCGGGGGTGACACCGAGGGGTCTCAGGGGGAGGGGGCACAGAGCGAGCAGCCCCAGGAATTCCCCCCTGATGGGGGCGTTTCCCAGCAGCCAGCGGGCCCCCCGAAAACACCGTCACGGGAGGGGACAGGTGAGGATGGGGGGGGACACCCTGACCTTTGTCACCCCCCCTGGGACACCCTGTCCCTTGTCACCCCCCAGTCCCCCTGTCACCCCCGGTCCCTCCTGTCCCTTGTCACCCCCCCTCTTGTCCTTTGTCACCCCCCTGGCCCCTCTTGTCCTTTGTCACCCCCCCAATCCCTCCTGTCCCTTGTCACCCCCCTTGTCCCTTGTCACCCCCCCAGTCCCTCCTGTCCCTTGTCACCCCCTTTTGTCCCTTTGTCACCCTCAACCCCTCCTGTCCTTGTCACCCCCCCAGTCCCTCTTGTCCTTTGTCACCCCCTCTTGTCCTGTCACCCCCAGTTCCTCCTGTCCTTTGTCACCCCCTGGTCCCTCCTGTCCTTTGTCACTCTCCTCTTGTCCTTTGTCACCCCCTCTTGTCCTTTGTCACCCCCTTGTCCCTTGTCACCCCCTGGTCCCTCCTGTCCCTTGTCACTCCCAGTCCCTCTTGTCCCTTGTCACCCCCTTGGTCCCTCCTGTCCCTTGTCCCCCCCAGTCCCTCTTGTCCCTTGTCACCCCCCTCTTGTCCCTTGTCACCCCCGGTCCTCTTGTCCTTGTCACCCCCCAGTCCCTCCTGTCCCTTGTCACCCCCTTGTCCCTTGTCACCCCCTCTTGTTCCTCCTGTCCCTTGTCACCCCCTCTTGTCCCTTGTCACCCCCTGGTCCCTCCTGTCCTTTGTCACCCCCTGGTCCCTCTTGTCCCTTGTCACCCCCTCTTGTCCCTTGTCACCCCCTCTGGTCCCTCCTGTCCCTTGTCACCCCCCAGTCCCTCCTGTCCCTTGTCACCCCCTCTTGTCCCTTGTCACCCCCTGGTCCCTCCTGTCCCTTGTCACCTCCCTTGGTCCCTCCTGTCCCTTGTCACCCCCAGTCCCTCTTGTCCCTTGTCACCTCCCCTAGTCCCTCCTGTCCCTTGTCACCTCTTTGTCCCTTGTCACCCCCAATCCTCTTGTCCCTTGTCACCCCAATCCTCCTGTCCCTTGTCACCCCCTGGTCCCTCCTGTCCCTTGTCACCCCCTGGTCCCTCCTGTCCCTTGTCACCCCCTCTTGTCCCTTGTCACCCCCTGGTCCCTCCTGTCCCTTGTCACCCCATCCCTGGTGACATTTGCGGCTTTAGGTCTCCTGGAGCCCCCTGACCCCTCCCCCTCGTTATTCAGGAGGAAATCCGGAGTTCTCCCTGGAGGAGAAGTTGAAGAAGCTGCTCATTAAACGGTAATTGGAGGAGGGAGGTGAGGGGACCTCTGTAGTGTCACCCCTTTGGGGTCCCCATCTCTTGGTCCCTGAGGGTCCCCCTGTTTTGTCCCCTGGGCCAGGGGTGCCAGGACCGCCCTGGCTTTGTCCCCTGTGTCCTCCAACACCGCCCTGGGTCCCCCTGTCCCCAACTCCCCAGACCAAACCCCATCTGCCTCTTGTCCCCCCACCCCAAAGCTCCCAGACCCTTCAGCTCCCCCAGACCTTGCCCTCTATCTCTTTTCCCCACCCAAAAGCCCCAGACCCTTCCAGCTCCCCAGACCCTTCCAGCTTCCCCAAAAGCCCCAGACCCTTCCAGCTCCCCCAGACCCTTCCAGCTCCCCCAGACCCTTCCAGCTCCCCCAGACCTTGCTCCTCTGCACTCTTGTCCCCACCCCAAGCCCCAGACCCTTCCAGCTCCCCTAAAGCCCTCCAGACCTTCCAGCTCCCCCAGACCCTTCCAGCTCCCCCAGAGCCCCAGACCCTTCCAGCTCCCCCAGACCCTTCCAGCTCCCCAAAAGCCCCAGACCCTTCCAGCTCCCCAGACCTTGCCCCCTCTGTCTTTATCCCCCACCCCAAGCTCCCCAGACCCTTCCAGCTCCTCAAAAGCCCCAGACCCTTCCAGCCTCCCAGACCCTTCCAGCTCCCCCAGACCCTTCCAGCTCCCCCAAACCTTGCCCCTTTGCCTCTTGTCCCCCCACCCCAAAAGCCCCAGACCCTTCCAGCTCTCCCAGACCTTCCAGCTCCCCCAGACCCTCTCCAGCTCCCCAGACCCTTCCAGCTCCCCAAACCTTGCCCCTTGCCCTTGTCCCCCACCCTAAAAGCCCCAGACCCTTCCAGCCTCCCCCCAGACCCTTCCAGCTCCCCAAAAGCCCCAGACCCTTCCAGCTCCCCAGACCCTTCCAGCTCCCCCAAAGCCCCAGACCTCTTGCCAGCTCCCAGGACCCTTCCAGCTCCCCAGACCTTCCAGCTCCCCCAAAGCCCCAGACCTTCCAGCTCCCCAGACCCTTCCAGCTCCCCCAAAGCTCCCAGACCCTTCCAGCTCCCCCAGACCCTTCCAGCTCCCCCAGACCTTGCCCCTCTGTATTTTATCCCCCACCCCAAACCCCAGACCCTTCCAGCTCCCCTAGACCCTTCCAGCTCTCTAGACCCTTCCAGCTCCCCAGACCTTGCCCTCTGCCTCTTGTCCCCACCCCAAAAGCCCCAGACCCTTCCAGCTCCCCCAGACTCTTCCAGCTCCCCCAAACCTTGCTCCTCTGTCTTTTATCCCCCCACCCCAAAAGCCCCAGACCCTTCCAGCTCTCCCAAAAGCCCCAGACCCTTCCAGCTCCCCCAGACCCTTCCAGATCCCCCCAAAGCTCCCAGACCCTTCCAGCTCCCCAAAGCCCCAGACCCTGTCCAGCTCCCCAGACCCTTCCAGCTCCCAGACCTCTTCCAGCTCCCAGACCCTTCCAGCTCTCCCAAAAGCCCCAGACCCTTCCAGCTCCCCCAGACCCTTCCAGATCCCCCAAAAGCCCCAGACCCTTCCAGCTCCCCCAAAAGCCCCAGACCCTTCCAGCTCCCCCAGACCCTTCCAGCTCCCCCAAAAGCCCCGGACCCTTCCAGCTCCCCAGACCCTTCCAGCTCCCCAAAGCCCCAGACCCTTCCAGCTCCCCAGACCCTTCCAGCTCCCCAGACCCTTCCAGCTCCCCCAAACTTTGCCCCTCTGCCTCTTGTCCCCCCACCCTAAAGCCCCCAGACCCTTCCAGCTCCCCAAACCTTGTCCCCTCTGCCTCTTGTCCCCCACCCCAAAGCTCCCAGACCCTTCCAGCTCCCCCCCCAGACCCTTCCAGCCTCCCCAGACCTTGCCTCTGTCTCTTGTCCCCCACCCCAGACCCTTCCAGCTCCCCAGACCTTGCCCTCTGTCTTTATCCCCCACCCCAAAAGCCCCAGACCCTTCCAGCTCCCCAAAAGCCCCAGACCCTTCCAGCTCCCCAGACCCTTCCAGCTCCCCAAAGCCCCAGACCCTTCCAGCTCCCCAGACCCTTCCAGCTCCCCAAAAGCCCCAGATCCTTCCAGCTCCCCAAACCCTTCCATCTCCCCAAACTCCCTGTGGGATGGATAGGGTGTCCCCTGGTGCTGACCCCAACTTTTCCCCCCCCAGGAGGGCCCCCCAGGGTGCCCCCCCGGTGCCCCCCAAGGTGCCCCCCAAGGTGCCCCGGGTGTCTCTGGAGCGGCTGGAGCTGGGCCTGGCGCTGGACCCGGCGCTGCCCCCGCCCGCCTTCCGCGTCCTGCCCGGCCCCTCCGCCGGCCAGTTCAGCGTCATCGTCATCGAGCAGGCCGGGGGGACGCCCCAGAGGGGACAGCAGCCCCAGGGGACACTCCAAGGGACGCCAGGGCAGGGGCAGCAGCCCCGGGGGGACGTCCCCGTCAAGGTGAGCGTGGCCTGGCCCCCCCGGGGTCACCTCGTGTGTCACCTCCCCACCCCCTGATGTAAGGTGTGTTTGGCTGGTGTCAGCTCTATCCTTCTGGTGTCACCTGTCCGTTTCCAGTGTCCCCCTGTGTCCCACTGCCCCTTCCCTGTGTCCCCTCTCCAGTGTCCCCCCTGTGTCCCCTCTCCTGTGTCCCCTCTCCAGTGTCCCCCTGTGTCCCTCTGCCCTTTCCCCACATCCCCTCTCCAGTGTCCCCCTGTGTCCCACTGTCCCTTTCCTGTGTCCTGCCCTTCCCAGTGTCCCCCTGTGTCCCCCTGTGTCCCACTGCCCCTTCCCCAGTGTCCCCTCTCCAGTGTCCCCTCTCCAGTGTCCCCCTCCTCATCTCCCTCCAGTGTCCCCTGCCCTCCAGTGTCCTCCTGTGTCCCACTGCCTCCTTCCCTGTGTCCCCTCTCCAGTGTCCCCCTGTGTCCCACTGCCCCTTCCCTGTGTCCCCTCTCCAGTGTCCCCCTCCTCATCTCCCCTTGTCCTCCCATCCCCTCCTCTCATCTCCCAATGTCCCTCTCAGTGTCCCCTAGTGTCCCACTGCCCCTTCCCTGTGTCCTCTGTCCTGTGTCCCCTCTCCAGTGTCCCCTGTCCTCATCTCCTCCCCTGTATCCCCACTCCCTCCTCCTATCTCCCATTGTCCCTCCCCCACTGCCCCTCCCCTCGTCCTCCCCACTGTCTCCCTGTCCCTTCCACGTCCCCCTTGTCCTCCTCCCTCCCCTGTCCTCCTTCTTGTCCTCCCCTGTGTCCTCCTCCACGTCCCCTTGTGCTCCCCCATTGTCCTCTCTCACATCCTCTCCTGTATCCCCCTGTCCTCCCCCCATCCTCCCCCCATCCCCCTCTAGTCCTCCCCCTGCTCATCCCCCTTGTCCTCCCTCCAGTCTCCCCTTATTGCCCCCTGTCCTCCCCTCATCCCCTGTGTCCTCTTCCCCACATCCCCTCTCAGTGTCCCCCCATGTGTCCTCCTCCACATCTCCCCATGTCCTCCTCTCCTGTGTCCCTATCGTCCCTGCCCTTCCTTGTGTCTCCTCTGTGTCTCCTGTGTCCTATCCTCCCCATCCCCCTCATCCCCTCCACCTCCTCTTCTCCTCTTATCTTTCCCTCCCCATCTCTCTCTCACTCCTCTCCTCCCCGTCCTCCCCTTTCTCCTCTCATGTCCTCCCCGTCCCTTCCATCCCCTTGTCCTCCCTCTCCTCTGCCCATCCCCTCCTCGTCCTCCCCCATCCCCTCATTCCTCCCACCTCTCCCTATACTCCTCCCCATCCCCCATCCCCCTCACCTCCCCTTTCTCTTTACCCCCATCCCCTCCTCTCTATCCCTCCCTCATCATCCCCATCCCCCGCCCCCTCACCTCTCCTTTCTCCCCCTCCCCCAGGAGAGAGCCCCACGAAGTGGCCATCGGCGACCCCGTGGACACAAGCCGGAGGGCCAGCCCTCCCCTGTGGGGGTCTGGTGGTGTTAGGGCCGGCCCACCCCTTGGGGTCCTGGTGGTGTTGGGGCTAGCAGCCCTCCCCTGCTGGGGGTCCCTGAGTGGGGCCGGGGGCCGTGGAGCTGCGCGTGTGCGGCCGCGCGGGCGCCGTGGTGATGTGCGACCGCTGCCAGCGCTGCTTCCACCTGCACTGCCACCTGCCCGCCCTCGCCGACGTGCCCAGGTACCCAGAGCACCTCGGGATCCAGGTACCCCCAGGGGATCCACTGGGATCCAGGTACCCCCAGGGGATCCACTGGGATCCAGGTACCCCCAGGGGATCCGCCGGGATCGGCTCCTCCCCGGGATCCCTCGGGATCCAGGTACCCTGAGGGGATCCAGGTACCCCAAGGGGATCCGCCGGGATCGGCTCCTCCCCGGGATCCCGAGGGATCCAGGTACCCTGAGGGGATCCACTGGGATCGGCTTGCTCCCGGGATCCCGAGGATCCAGAGTACCCCAGGGATCCGCCGGGATCGGCCCATCCCGGGATCCCGAGGATCCAGGTACCTGAGGATCCCACTGGGATCGGCTGCCCCAGGATCCCGAGGGGTCCAGGGCTACCCTGAGGGATCCACTGGGATCGCTCCTCCCGGGATCCCGAGGATCCAGGTACCCTGAGCCCCCTAGGATCGGCTCTCCCGGGATCCCGAGGGATCCGCTCCCTCGGCACCTCCGCCGTCCCCGCGACTTCCCCAGACCTCGCGAGTGTCTCCCGTGTTCCCTGCTCCCCGATCCCTCTGGGAATCCCCCACCCCCACTAGGATCCTCTGGGAATCCCCCTAACAGGATCCCTCCGGGAATCCTCCACCAGGATCCCTCTGGGAATCCCCCTAACAGGATCCCTCCGGGAATCCCCCCACCAGGATCCCTCTGGGAATCCCCCACCGAGATCCCTCTGGGAATCTCCCACCCCCACCAGGATCCCTCTGGGAATCCCTGAGCAAGATCCCTCTGGGAATCCCCCCCCCAATCCCTCTGGGAATCCCCCACTGAGATCCCTCTGGGAATCCCCCGCCAGGATCCCTCTGGGAATCCCCCACCAAGCCCAAACGTGGCTTCCCTTGGATCCCCCTGGCTCCCCCTGGCTCCCCCTGGTTCCCCCTGGATCCCCCTGGATTCCCCTGGCTTCCCCATTCCCTCTGGATCCCCATGGATCCCCATGGATCCCCATGGCTTCCTGGATCCCCTGGATCCCTGGGCTTCCATCCCCTGGATCCCCCTGGATCCTCCTGGCTTCCCTGGATCCCCTGGATCCCCTGGATCCCCTGGCTTCCCTGGATCCCCCTGGATCCCCATGGCTTCCCCACCCCTCTGGATCCCCATGGATCCCCGTGGCTTCCCCATTCTTCCTGGATCCCCATGGCTTCTCCTGGATCCCCCTGGATCCCCATGGATCCCCATGGATCCCCATGGATCCCCATGGCTTCCCCATTCCCCATGGCTTCCCCATGGCTTCCCCTGGCTTCCCCATTCCCCATGGATTCCCCCTGGATTCCCCCTGGATCCCCATGGCTTCCCCTGGATCCCGTGGATCCCCTGGATCCTCAGTGGCTTCCCCTGGATCCCCTGGATCCCCCGGGCTTCCCCACCCCTCTGGATCCCCCTGGCTTCCCCTGGATCCCCCTGGATCCCCCTGGATCCCCATGGCTTCCCCACCCCCTTGGAATCCCGGTGTCTTCCCCTGGATCCCTGTGGCTTCTCTTGGATCCCCCTGGATCCCCCATGGCTTCCCCACCCCTCTGGATCCCCCTGGCTTCCCCTGGATCCCCGTGGATCCCCCTGGATCCCCATGGCTTCCCACCCCTGGAATCGGTGGCCCCTGGATCCCTGTGGCTCTCTCTTGGATCCCCTGGATTCCCTGGATCCCCGTGGCTTCCCACCCCTGGATCCCCCTGGATCCCCTGGATTCCTGTCCCCCTGGATTCCCTGGATCCCCTGGATCCCCTGGATCCCCGATCCACTGGCTCCCCTGGCTCCCCCAGATCCCTGGATCCCCCAGATCCCCTGGATCCCCATCTCCATCTGTCCCCGTTTCCACAGCCCCGACTGGGCGTGCCTGCTGTGCCAGGAGCTCCCCGCCCTCCGAGAGCCCCCGGGACTGGGACCCCCCACCTGAGCCCCTGGACCAGCAGGTGAGTCCTGGGGAGAGGATCCCAAGGGATCCAGGGGTGTCCCTGGGGGGATCCAGGGGTCCTGGGGGATTCAGGGGTGTCCTGGGGATCCTGGGGGATCAGGGGATCCTGGGGATCAGGGTGTCCCTGGGGGGATCCAGGGGATCCAGGGTGTCCCTGGGGATCCTGGGGGGATCCAGGGGATCCTGAGGGATCCAGGGTGTCCCTGGGGATCAGGGGATCAGGGAACCAGGGGTGTCCCTGGGGGGATCCAGGGTGTCCCTGGGGGATCCCTGGGGATCAGGGGATCCCTGGGGGATCAGGGGTGTCCCTGGGGAGGGGCTTTGGGGGTGATCCCAAGGGATCAGGGGATCCCTGGGGATCCAGGGGTGTCCCTGGGGATCCGGGGGATCCAGGGGATCCCTGGGGAGATCCAGGGTGTCCCTGGGGGATCCAGGGTGTCCCTAGGGGGATCCAGGGGTGTCCTGGGGATCCTGGGGGATCAGGGTGTCCTGGGGGGATCAGGGGTGTCTCTGGGGATCCAGGGGGTGTCCCTGGGGAGGGATCCAGGGGTGTTCTGGGGGATCCAGGGGATCCCGGGGGATCCAGGGGATCTCTGGGGATCGAGAGGATCAGGAGGATCCAGGGGATCCAGGGATCTCTGGGGATCCCTGGGGATCAGGGGTGTCTCCTGGGGGATCAGGAGTGTCCCTGGGGGGATCAGGAGTGTCCCTGGGGAGGGGATCAAGGGGATCCTGGGGGATCAGGGGATCCTGAGGGATCCAGGGGATCCTGGGGGGATCAGGGGTGTCCCTGGGGGGATCCAGGGGATCCCTGGGGATCCAGGGGATCCCTGGGGGATCCAGGGTGTCCTGGGGATCCAGGGATCCTGGGGATTCAGGGATCCTGGAGGGATCCAGGAGTGTCCCTGGGGGATCCAGGGTGTCCCTGGGGATCAGAGGTGTCCCTAGAGGGATCCTGGGGGATCCAGGGGATCCCTGGGGAGGGGCTTTAGGGGTGATCCCAAGGGATCAGGGGATCCCTGGGGAGGGGGCTTTAGGGGGTGATCCCAAGGGATCCAGGGGATCCTGGGGGATCCTGAGGATCAGGGTGTCCCTGGGGGATCCTGAGGATCCAGGGTGTCCCTGGGGGATCCTGAGGATCCAGGGGTGTCCCTGGGGGATCCAGGGTGTCCCTGGGGGATCCCTGAGGGGATCCAGGGGTGTCCCTGGGGGATCCAGGGGTGTCCCTGGGGGGGATCCAGGGTGTCCCTGGGGGATCCAGGGGTGTCCCTGGGGGATCAGGGGTGATCCCAAGGGATCCAGGGTGTCCCTGGGGACCAGGGGATCCTGGGGGATCCAGGGTGTTCCTGGGGGGATCCAGGGGATCCCTGAGGGGATCCAGGGTGTCCTGGGGGGATCCAGGGGTGTCCTGAGGGGATCCCTGGGGGATCCAGGGTGTCCCTAGGGGATCCAGGGTGATCCCAAGGGATCCAGGGGATCCCTGGGGGATCCAGCAGGTGAGTGAGTCCTGGGGCAGGGGTGATCCCAAGGCATCCAGGGAGGGGCTTTGGGGGTGATCCCAAGGGATCCAGGGGGATCCTGGGGGATCGAGGTGATCCCAAGGATCCAGGGGAGGGGCTTTGGGGTGATCCAAGGGATCAGGGGATCCAGGGGATCCCTGGGGGATCCAGGCCTGCTGCCCTTTGTCCCCCCAGAGGTGTGAGCTGGTGCTGCTGGAGCTGCTTTGCCACGAGCCCTGCCGGGCCCTGCAGCGCCCACCCCGCCCCACGGTCAGTGAGTGACCCTGAGGGCTACAGAGCCCTGGGGACCCCCTTAAAGGGGTGTCCCTGCGTGGGGGGCTGGGGTCCCTCTGGGTGTCTCTGGGTGGGGGCTAGGTCCCTCTGGGGGTCCCTGGGTGGGTTCTGGGGTCTGGGAGGGGTCTGGGTGTCCCTGGGAGGGGTCTGGGGTTCCTGGGTGGGGGAGGGTTCTGGGAGGGTCTGGGGTCCCTCTGGGGGTTCTGGGGGTGCCTCTGGGTGTCTCTGGGTGGGGGGTCTGGGAGGGTCTGGGGTCCCTGAGGGTGGTTTCTGGGAGGGTCTGGGGTCCTCTGGGTGTCCCTGGGTGGGGGGTCTGGGAGGGGTCTGGAGGTCCTCTGGGTGTCCCTGGGGCCCTGGAGGGTCTGGGGTCCTCTGGGTGTCCCTGGGGGGTTCTGGGAGGGGTCTGGGGGTTCCTCTGGGTGTCCCTGGGGTGGGGTCTGGAGGGGGTCTGGGGGGTCTGGGTGTCCCTGGGAGGGGTCTGGGGTCCCTGGGGAGGGGTTTGGGAGGGTCTGGGGGTCCCTGGGAGGGTCTGGGGGTCCCCCTGGGTGTCCCTGGGTTGGGGGAGTTCTGGGAGGGTCTGGGGGTCCTCTGGGTGTCCTTGGGGGTCTGGGAGGGGTCTGGGGGTCCCTGGGGTTTCTGGGAGGGTCTGGGGGTCCCTCTGGGAGGGGTCTGGGGGGGTTTCTAGGAGGGGTTCTGGGGGTCCCTCTGGGTGTCCCTGGGAGGGGTCTGGGGTCCCTGGGGTGGGGGGTCTGGGGGTCCCTTGGGGGGGTTCTGGGAGGGGTCTGGGGTCCCTCGGGGGTCCCTAGGGGGGGTCTGGGAGGGTCTGGGGGTCCCTCTGGGTGTCCCTGGGGGCGGTTCTGGGAGGGGTTTGGGGTCCCTGGGGGTTCTGGGAGGGTCTGGGGTCTCTCTGGGTGTCCCTGGGTGGGGGGTCTGGGAGGGGTCTGGGGTCTCTCTGGGTGTCCCTGGGTGGGGTGGGGTCTGGAGGGGGTCTGGGGGGGTCTGGGGTCCCTGGGGGGTTTTGGGAGGGGTCTGGAGGTCCTGGGGGAGGCCTGGGAGGGTCTGGGGGTCCCTGTGGGTGTCCCTAGGTGGGGTTTTGGGAGGGGTCTGGGGGTCTCTCTGGATGTCCCTGAGGGAAATCTGGGGGTCCCTCTGGGGGTCCCTGTGGGGGAGGGGATTCTGGGAGGGGGTCTGGGGGTCCTCTGGGTGTCCTGGTGGGGGGTTTTGGGAGGGGTCTGGGGTCCCTGGGAGGGGTCTGGGGGTCCCTCTGGGGGTCCCTGGGGGGAGTCTGGGAGGGGGTCTGGGGTCTCTCTGGATGTCTCTGGGAGGGGGGGTCTGGGGGTTCCTCTGGGTGTCCCTGGGGGTTCTGGGAGGGTCTGGGGTCCTCTGGGTGTCCTGGGAGGAGGTCTGGGGTCCCTGTGGGGAGGGTCTGGGAGGGTCTGGGGGTCCCTGGGGAGGGGTTTTGGGAGGGGTCTGGGGTCCTCTGGGGGTCCCTGGGGAGGAGGGGGTTCTGGGAGGGGTCTGGGGTCCCTGGGAGGGGTCTGGGGTCCCTCTGGGTGTCCTGGGGGAGGGGGTTCTGGGAGGGGTCTGGGAGGGGTCTGGGGTCCCTCTGGGAGGTCTGGGGGTCCTCTGGGTGGGGGTCTGAGGGGGTGGGGGTGGGTCTGGGGGTCCCTCTGGGGGTCCCTGGAGTGGGGTCTGGAGGGGGGGTCTGGGGGTCCCTCTGGGGGTCCCTGGGAGGGGTCTGGGGGTCCTCTGGGTGTCCCTGGGGGGTTCTGGGAGGGGTCTGGGGGTCCCTGGGGAGGAGGGGTCTGGGAGGGTCTGGGGTCCTGGGGGTGTCTGGGAGGGGTCTGGGGGTCCCTCTGGGTGTCCCTGGGGGGGTTCTGGGAGGGTCTGGGGGTCCTCTGGGGTGTCCTGGGGAGGGGGTTTCTGGGAGGGTCTGGGGTCCCTGGGTGGGGGAGGGGTCTGGGGGTCCCTCTGGGGGGGTCTGGGGGTCCTCTGGGTGTCTCTGGGGAGGGGGTCTGGGGTCCCTCTGGGTGTCCCTGGGGGTTTCTGGGAGGGTCTGGGGTCCCTGTGGGGAGGGGGTCTTTGGGAGGGGTCTGGGGTCCCTGTGGGGAGGGGTTTTTGGGAGGGGTCTGGGGGTCCCTCTGGGTGTCCTGGGGGGTCTGGGAGGGGTCTGGGGGTCCCTGGGGCCTCCTGGGCTCGCTGACCCTCGGGGGAGAAGTTTGGTGGCCCCAGGTGGGGTCTGGTGGTCCCTGACCCCTGACCCCCACTGTGTGGTGGTCGCAGGGGGTCCCGCCTGGACCTGACCCTGATGAGGCGAGCTGCAGGGAAGCTGAGCCCCCTGCGGGACCCCGGGGAGTTCGCCAGGGACGCCTGGGGGTCCTGGGGCAGCTCCAGGGGACCACCGAGGTCTGGGGGTCTGGGGGGTCTGGGGGGTCCCTCTGGGGGTCCCTGGGGTCGGGGGGTTCTGGGAAGGGTCTGGGGGCCTGGGGAGGGGTCTGGGAGGGTCTGGGGTCCCTGGGGGTGTCCCTGGGGTGGGGGTCCTGGGGCAGCTCCAGGGGACCACCGGAGGTCTGGGGGATCTGGGGGGGTCTGGGGGGGGTCTGGGGGGGGTCTGGGGTCCTGGGGCAGCTCCAGGGGACCACCGAGGTCTGGGGGGGTCTGAGGGGGTCTGGGGGTCCTGGGGCAGCTCCAGGGGACCACCGAGGTCTGGGGGTCTGGGGTCTCTCTGGGTGTCCCTGGGGGAGGGGGTCTGGGAGGGGTCTGGGGTCCCTGGGGTGGGGGTGTTCCTGGGACAGCTCCAGGGGACCACTGAGGTCTGGGGGGTCTGGGGAGGGGTCTGGGAGGGGTCTGGGGGTCCCTCTGGGTGTCCCTGGGGGAGGCCTGGGGGGTCTGGGGTCCTCTGGGGGGAGGGGTTCTGGGAGGGGTCTGGGGGTCTCTGGGTATCCCTTGGGGGTCCCTGGGGATCTGGGGGGTCCCTGGGGATCTCAGGGGATCTGGGGGTCTCTGGAGATCTGGGGGCCCTGGGGATTTGGGGTCTCGAGGGATCTGGGGGGTCCCTGGGGGTTGTGCAGCCCCTGACCCCCATGTGTCCCCCCCAGACAAGGCTGGGCTGCGGCCCTGAGGGAGTCCTGGGATCTGGGGGTCCGCTGGGGATTTGGGGGTCCCTGGGGATTTGGGGGTTCCTGGGGGTTTGGGCGGTCCCTGGGGTAGCAGCCCCCTGACCCCCCCCCTGTCTCCCCCAGGACAAGGCTGGGCGAGTCCCTGAGGGGTCCCTGGGGATCTGGGAGGGTCCAGGATCTGGGGGTCCTAGGGATCTGGGGGTCCCTGAGGGTCTGGGGGGGTCCCTGGGAGTCATGCGGCCCCTGACCCTCTCTGTGTCCCCACACCCCAGGACAAGGTGGGGGTCCCTGAGGGGACTCTGGGATCTGGGGTCTCTGGAGATCTGGGGGTCCCTGGGGATCTGGGGGGTCTCAGGGGATCTGGGGGTCCTGGGGATCTGGGGATCCCTGGGGCAGGTCCCTGGCCCTGGTCCCCCAGGACATGGCTGGGCGCAGTCCCTGAGAGGGGGTCTAAGGGTCTGAGGGGTCTCTGGGGATCTGGGGGATCTCAGGGATCTGGGGGTCTCTGGGGATCTGGGGGGTCTCTGGGGATGTGGGGGTCCCTGGGGATCTGGGGGTCTCTAGGGGATCGGGGGTCTGGGGATCTGGGGGTCCCTGAGGATTTGGGGGTCCCTGGGGATCTGGGGGTCTCTGGGATCGGGGGGTCCCTGGGGATCTGGGGTCCCTGGGGATTTGGGGGTCCCTGGAGGTTGTGCAGCCCCTGACCCCCCTGTGTCCCTCCCCAGGACAAGGCTGGGCTGCAGTCCCTGAGGGGTCCCTGGGGATTTGGGGGTCCCTGAGGGTCTGGGGGTCCCTGGGGATTTGGGGGTCTCAGGGGGGTTGTGCAGCCTCTGACCCCCTGTGTCCCCCCCAGGACAAGGCTGGGGGTCCCTGAGGGGTCCCTGGGGGTCTGGGGGGTCTCTGGGGATCTGGGGGGTCTCTGGGGATCTGGGGGTCCCTGGGGATCTGGGGGGTCCCTGGGGATCTGGGGATCTCAGGATCTGGGGATCTCCTGGGGATCTGGGGGTCTCTGGGGATCTGGGGGTCCCTGGGGATCTGGGGGGGTCCCTGGGGATCTGGGGGGCTCTCTGGGGATCTGGGGGATCTCAGGGGATCTGGGGGGATCTCTGGGGATCTGGGGGTCTCTGGGGATCTGGGGGTCCCTGGGGTTGTGCAGCCCCCTGACCCCCCTGTGTCTCTCCCCCCCCAGGACAAGGTGGGGGTCCCTGAGGGGTCTGGGGATCTGGGGGTCTCAGGGGATCTGGGGGGTCCCTGGGGATCTGGGGGTCCCTGGGGTCTGGGGCTCAGGTTGTGCAGCCCTGACCTCCCTAGGTCCTCCCCCAGGACAAGGCTGGGCTGCAGTCCCTGAGGGGAGTCCCTGGGGATTTGGGGGTCTCAGGGGATCTGGGGGTCTCCTGGGGATCTGAGGGGGTCTCTGGGGATCTGGGGGGTCTCAGGGGATCTGGGGGTCCCTGGGATTTGGGGGTCTCAGGGATCTGGGGGTCCCTGGGATCTGAGGTCCCTGGGGGTTGTGCAGCCCCTGACCCCCCTGTGTCCCCCCCAGGACAAGGCTGGGCTGCAGTCCCTGCTGAGCGTGCAGAGGTTCCTCGAGAGCCGCCTGAGCCGCGTTTTTGGGGACAGGAAATTCTGGGACCACCCCCAGGACCCCCCCACTGCCTGAGCCCTCCCCAGGGTGCTGGGACCACCCAGGACCCCCCCACTGCCTGAGCCCTCCCCAGGGGCTGCTGGGACCCCCAGGGACCCCCCACGGCTTACACCCCTCCCCAGGGTGCTGGGACCCCCCACTGCCTGAGCCTCTCCCCAGGGGTGCTGGGACCCCCACTGCCTCAGCCCTCTCCCCAGGGGTGCTGGGACCACCCAGGACCCCCCACTGCCTGAGCCCCTCCCCAGGGGAGCTGGGACCCCCCACTGCCTGAGCCCCCTCCCCAGGGGTGCTGGGACCCCCAATGCCTGGAGCCCCTCCCCAGGGGGTGCTGGGACCCCCCCAACGGCTTAAGCCCCCTCCCCAGGGGTGCTGGGACCCCCACTGCCTGAGCCCCCTCCCCAGGGGCTGCTGGGACCCCCCCACTGCCTGAGCCCCCTCCCCTGGGGTGCTGGGACCCCCACGGCCTTAGCCCCTCCCCAGGGGTGCTGGGACCCCCACTGCCTGAGCCCCTCCCCAGGGGCTGCTGGGACCCCCCCACTGCCTGAGCCCCCTCCCCAGGGTGCTGGGACCACCCAGGGACCCCCAGTGCCTGAGCCCCTCCCCAGGGGTGCTGGGACCCCCCCCACTGCCTGAGCCCCCTCCCCAGGGTACCCCAACCTTCCTTCTCTCTGGGACCCCAGCCCACCCTGCCAGGGGTCGTGATCCTCCCCCTGGGACCCCAGCCCACCCTGCCAGGGGTGCTGATCCTCCACGGGACCCCCAGACTCCTCCCCTGGGACCCCAGCCCCTCCCCAGGACCCCAGCCCCCTCCCCAGGGCTGCTAGGATCCTCCCCAGGGACCCCCAGGCCCGACCCTCCCTGCCTGCAGGACCCCCAGGGCCCACCCTGCCAGGGGCCACGCATCCTCCCCGGGTAGGACCCCCAGGGACCCCCTCCCAGGACCCCGAGCCCCCTCCCTGGGGCTGGATTCCTTCTCCCTGGGACCCCAGCCCTCCCCCAGGACCCCAGCCCCTCTCCCTGGGCTCATGATCCTCCCCTGGGACCCCAGCCCCCCCTCCCAGGACCCCAGCCCCCTCTGCCAGGGATCGCGTGATCCTCCCCCTGGGACCCCAGCCCCTCTCCCTGGGACCCCAGCCCCTCTCCCTAGGACCCCAGCCCACCCTGCCTGGGATCTTGATCCCTCCCGGGACCCCAGCCCTCCCCTGGGACCCCAGCCCCCTCCCTGGGACCCCAGCCCCCTGCCTGGGGTCGTGATCCACTCCTGGGACCCCAGACCCCCTCCCAGGACCCCAGCACCCTCTCCCCGGGTGCGTGATCCCCAGCCCACCCTGCCCAGGACCCCAGCCCCTCCCCCTGGGACCCCATTTCTGCTCCCCTAAAACCTCTCCTGGCCCTTCCTCGTTTGGGGCCGAGGAGGGAGGACCCCGGAGGGAAGGAGGGGGTTCAATTTCGAGGCCGTTTCGTTTCTTTGTCCTCTCAGTGATAAATTAAAAAATTCTCTCTCCTCACTTTGAGTCTCCCAGTTCTTGTCTCGACTCCGAGTCCTGGGGTTTAGAGGGGGGGTGGTGCCCAGCTGGGGGCAAACTGGTCCCAGTAACCCGCTCCAGAGGGCAAACTGGTCCCAGTAACCCGCTCCAGAGGGCAAACTGGTCCCAGTAACCCGCTCCACAGGGCAAACTGGTCCCAGTAACCCGCTCCAGAGGGCAAACTGGTCCCAGTAACCCGCTCCAGAGGGCAAACTGGTCCCAGCACAGCACTCCAGAGGGCAAACTGGTCCCAGTAACCCGCTCCAGAGGGCAAACTGGTCCCAGTAACCCGCTCCAGAGGGCAAACTGGTCCCAGTAACCCGCTCCAGAGGGCAAACTGGTGCCAGCACAGCGCCCCCCCCACTCCCGGTAAAGATGGCGGCGCCCAGGGCCAAGATGGCGGCGCCCATGGCCAAGATGGCGGCGCCCAGTGGCAGAAAGTGCCTCAAGCCCCGCCCCCCCCCCGCGCGGGGATTGGTCGGTGGGGCCGGAAACAGGCAAAGTTTTCCCGAGCTCCTTTTGGAGATCCCAGAACCCTTCCCGGAATTTCCTGAGGCCTTCCCGGACCCTCCCGGACCCTTCCCGGAGCAATTACCGAGCTCTTCCGGAAGTTGCCGAGCTATTCCGGAAGTTGCCGAGCTCTTCCGGAAGTTACCGAGCTGTTCCGGAAGGTGTCGAGCTGTTCCGGAAGTTCCCGAGCTATTCCGGAAGTTGCCGAGCTCTTCCGGAAGTCGCCGAGCTCTTCCGGAAGTTGCCGGGCTGCTCCGGAAGTTGCCGAGCTATTCCGGAAGGTGTCGAGCGGCTCCGGAAGTTCCCGAGCGGCTCCGGAAGTTGCCGAGCGGCTCCGGAAGTTGCCGAGCGGGCCGGCCCTCAGCGCTCGCCCCCGGCCCCGTCGGTCCCGGACCCCCCGAAACTCCCCCTAAAAAAAGGAAAAAAAAAAAAAAAACCCACAAAAAACCCCGAAGCCCCCTTAGAAAGCCCCCCCGAACCGTCGCTCCCCCCGCGCCCCCCGGGGGGGCCGGCGCCGCCCCGGCCCGGGCCCGGCAGGATGATCAAGCTGTTCTCCCTGAAGCAGCAGAAGAAGGAGGAGGAATCGGCCGGGGGCACCAAAAGCTCCAGCAAAAAGGCCTCGGCGGCGCAGCTGAGGATCCAGAAAGGTACGGAGGGGACGGACTGGGACCAGTGAGGGGCACGGGCTGGGACCAGTGAGGGGCACGGGCTGGGACCAGTGAGGGGCACGGGCTGGGACCAGTGAGGGGCACGGGCTGGGACCGGTAACGATCCCGAGGGGGGAGAGCGGCTGGGCCCAGCGGGGATCAGGGACTGGGCCCAGTTAGGCCCTGGCGGGGGGATGGGGGTGGTCCCAGTAAGGGTCAGGGACTGGGCCCAGTAAGGGTCAGATACTGGTTCCAGTAAGGGTCAGGGAATGGTTCCAGTAAGGGTCAGAGACTGGTCCCAGTAAGGGTCAGGGGCTGGTCCCAGTAAGGGTCAGATACTGGTTCCAGTAAAGGCCAGGGACTGGCCCCAGTAAGGGTCAGATACTGGTCCCAGTAAGGGTCAGATACTGGTTCCATTAAGGGTCAGATACTGGTCCCAGTAAGGGTCAGGGACTGGCCCCAGTAAGGGTCAGATACTGGTTCCATTAAGGGCCAGGGACTGGTTCCATTAAGGGTCAGGGACTGGTTCCGTTAAGGGTCAGGGACTGGTCCCAGTAAGGGTCAGATACTGGTTCCATTAAGGGTCAGATACTGAGTCCAGTAAGGGTCAGGGACTGGTCCCAGTAGAGAACAGGTGCTGGACTCAGTAAGGCTCCAGTTGGGGTCACATACTGGTCCCAGTATGAGTCACGTATTGGTGCCAGTACAGTTCCGCTGGGGGCCAGGGACTGGTCCCAGTTGGGGTCAGGGACTGGTCCCAGGAAGGGTCACACACTGGTCCCAGGAAGGGTCACACACTGGTCCCAGGAAGGGTCCCACACTGGTCCCAGTTGGGGTCCCGCACTGGTCCCAGTTGGGATCAGGCACTGGTCCCAGGAAGGGTCCCACACTGGTCCCGGTTGGGGTCACACACTGGTCCCAGCTGGGATCAGGGACTGGTCCCAGCTGGGGTCCCACACTGGTCCCAGGAAGGGTCCCACACTGGTCCCAGTTGGGGTCCCACACTGGTCCCACCTGGGGTCACAGTCTGGTCCCAGCTGGGATCAGGGACTGGTCCCAGGAAGGGTCACACACTGGTCCCAGTTGGGGTCACACACTGGTCCCAGTTGGGGTCACGCACTGGTCCCAGTTGGGGTCAGGGACTGGTCCCAGTTGGGGTCCCACACTGGTCCCAGTTGGGGTCACAGACTGGTCCCAGTTGGGGTCCCGCACTGGTCCCAGTTGGGGTCCCACACTGGTCCCAGGAAGGGTCCCACACTGGTCCCAGTTGGGGGTCACACACTGGTCCCAGTTGGGGTCACGCACTGGTCCCAGGAAGGGTCCCACACTGGTCCCGGTTGGGGTCACACACTGGTCCCAGTTGGGGTCACAGACTGGTCCCAGTTGGGGTCCCACACTGGTCCCAGGAAGGGTCCCACACTGGTCCCAGTTGGAGTCCCACACTGGTCCCAGGAAGGGTCCCACACTGGTCCCAGTTGGGGTCCCACACTGGTCCCAGTTGGGGTCCCACACTGGTCCCAGTTGGGGTCCCACACTGGTCCCAGGAAGGGTCCCACACTGGTCCCAGTTGGGGTCACACACTGGTCCCAGTTGGGGTCCCACACTGGTCCCAATGGGGACGTGTCTGTGTCCCCTCTGTCCCTGCCCCCCGTGTGTCACCTGTGTCGTGTCCCCGATGTCCCCCCCGGTGTCCCTTGGTGTCCCCAATCCCCCCCCCATGTCCCTCATCACCCCAGTATCCCCCAGTATCCCCAGTGCCCCCAGTGCCCCCAGTGCCCCCAGTGCCCCTCAAATGTCCCGGTTTGCCCCCCCAGACATCAACGAGCTCAACCTGCCCAAGACGTGCGAGATCGACTTCTCCGACCAGGACGACCTCCTGCACTTCCGGCTGCTCATCTGCCCTGACGAGGTGGGATTGGCACCCTCCTGTCACCTCTGGGTCACCTCCCTGGGTCACCTGGGTCATTCCCTGTCACCTGAGTCACCTCCTGTGTCACCTGGGTCACCTGGGTCACCTCCTGTCACCCCCTGACACCCCCTGTCACCTGGGTCACCTCCTGTCACCTGGGTCACCCCCTGAGTCACCTGGGTCACCTCCTGGGTCACCTGGGTCACCTCTGGGTCACCCCCTGTCACCTGGGTCACCTCTGGGTCACCCCTGTGTCACCTGGGTCACCCCCCTGTCACCTGGGTCACCTGAGTCACCCCTGGGTCACCTGGGTCATTCCCTGTCACCCCCCTGTCACCTGGGTCACCTCTGTCACCCCCCTGGGTCACCTGGGTCACCCCCTGGGTCACCTGGGTCACCTCCTGGCACCTGGGTCACCCCCTG